TGTATGTTATGTATGTATTGTATGTATGTATTGTATGTATGTATTGTATGTATGTATGTATTGTATGTATGTATTGTATGTATGTATTGTATGTATGTATTGTATGTATGTATGTATGGATGTATGTATGTATGTAATGTAATGTAATGTAATGTAGTGTAATGTATTTATGTATGTATGTATTGTATGGCATGGCACGGCACGGCATGGTATGGTATGGTATGGTATGGTATGCAATGTAAACTAAATGTAATGTAATGTAATGTAATGTAATGTATATATATATATATATTTATATCTAATAATCATTATGATAGTAATAATAATAACAGCAATAACACCACCCAAAAAATGGATACAAAGCACCCCATCTGAATCATCTGAACCATTTTCCATCCAAAAATCCATCCGAAATCCATCCAAATCATCTAAACAACGGTGAATTTTTGCCTTCCAACGTCCTTCCACCCTGAAAAAACTGGTCGCAGGAGGGTAGCCCAGCACCTGGGAAGGGATTTTGGCATTGCGTCAGCCGACTGGTCTCCAATCCAAGCTCACCCAAGCGAATCGCATACGAGGTGCCGAGGGACGGAGATGAATGGCGCAAACGATGAACTATAGTGGCGCCATAAGGGGTACCAGACATCCAAACCCATCTCGGGTTGCGAGGCATACAGAATGTGAGATTTTGATAGATTTGGGTCAATGTTGACACTGGTGTGTGATGATTGATGTGGATGTATTCATGTCTTAGGGAAGCGAACCAAAAGCGTAGACGACATTTTCACCCGGGATCCGCAGCCTCAGGCGAGACCAATATGTAAATAGGGTTCATGATATACATATATATTAATATAATATTGTGTATATGTATATATAATAATAGTAATAATAATAATGATAATGATAATAATAATGATAATAATAATAACAATAATAATAATACTATATATATATTAGTTTTTGGATCTGTATGTATCCCTTCCAGCTAAGTGATGCATCCACAGCCTGCCGCCCACAGCTAAAACTCACCTCGTCCAATCGTGCCAGATGCTGGGGCTGTTGCTCATCATGTACGACCTCATTTGGCTTCCAATGCAAGTCTTCGAACCCGCGGAGGGCAGTTTTTTCTTCGTGGTGGGGCTGGTCTCGTCGCTGTACTGGCCGCCTGGGCTCATGTTGATGCATCCTTGTTGTGCCCTTGATAGTTTACAGTGACAACGGTGCAGTCCCAGAACTGATGGCTATTTCCATGAAAAAACTGCAGAATACTGCAGAGCACCAAACATATTTCATGGCCGAAAATAAGGATTCAGATATCTAGTTTCGAATCGACGATCACCCATATATTCAATCATATTGCATTAGGTAACCACACAAACAAGCAAACAAATAGTGAACACATATACATCTACAAATCAATTCTATAAGTTTCAGTATTGCACCCCGACAAGACGGAACAATTGGAACAGTGGACATCATGTGGAAAACATCATCTATACTATATACACATATTTACGCCATCCTGGAAATACTCTTCTATCTCTTTGGGTGGTAGTATCAGATTGCACTAGAGAACCAAACTAAGAGGCAGTTAACAACACAAACATATACATCTATACATTCTACAAATATATAGGTGCACTCATAGATAAAATCCATCTATAATAATCTATAGATTCTAAATATATATATATGTATCTATTAGCATGTACACATACACATGCATATGCATATACATATGCATATGCATATACATATGCATATACATATGCATATGCATATACATATACATATGCATATGCATGCACGGAGATACATATGCATACACATACACACACACATACACACACACAGACACATACACATACAGACGGACGGACGTTGCAGAGATTGACACAGTCAACAGCTACTGTGAATTTTACCATACATACATACATACATACGTACATACATACATACATACAGACATACATGCATGCATGCATGCATGCATGCATGCATGAACGCATACCAACATAACAACATACCAACATACCTATCTACCTACCTACCTACCTACATACATACATACATACCTACATACATCCCTACATACATACGTATATGCATCTTCCATCCATCCATCCATACATCCATGGATAGATACATAGATACATAGATACAAAAATACAAAGATACAGACATACAGACATACGGACACACAAAGATACATACATACATTGTCATACGTTACATATGTCATTACAATATTTTCGACAAAAAACCACTCTATATATCGAAGCTTCGCCCAGGACCTTTGACATGCCCACCTCGTTCCTGGTAGGCTATGCCGTGCAGGATAAAGGACCGGTTGGAGGAAAAAATCGGCCTTGGTGAATCAACGGAAGTGCTGATTTCATTGGATTTAACCATACAAAATGGTGGTTTAATGGGATTTAACCATGAAAAATGGTGGTTTAATGGGATTTTAACCAACAGAAATGGTGATTTCTAACGATAAGATGGGGTTTAGCATGGTTTAACCAGCAAAAAATTGGGCCTTAAATTAAGTATATTTTTTCCAATCGATTGACGGTTGGGATTGGTCGTCAAAACTGGGATAAGTTGTCATCAAACCCACATGAATATATATATATTTCATGCAGGAAGGGGGGGGCCAAACAATAGGTTTCAGTTGGTTTATAAGTATAAGAACTAGGTTTTATGGATATTTAATTGATATCTGTAGACCACCTATGCAACTTGGGGCCTTCCTGTCGGAGGCCAGGGAGGTGCTTTCAGATTTTGAGATGCTGCCGTGTCTCCCACAGCTAAGGTTCTAAAACAGATGCCATGCCCACAGGTGATCTTGACTAAAACAAATACCATCAATAGCGGACCTCTTGCACAATAGGTTCCAATCCAAAGCAACTCACAGTTATCCTCAGCTATTGCCAGTTGTTTCATGTTGTTTCGCCTTCAACAAAACACCAGGTCCTTCAACAAAACAGGGCATCGGCCAGGAATCATCGAGATGCGCTTGCGAAAGATCGCGTGGAACTACATCCGCAGCTGGTTTATTTTGGACATCACCATTGTGACCATAGCACGGCCCTGAGATCAACGGGTTGGGTGTGAACCCGCTGGGATCAACGGCCCCCTTTCCGGACATGGATGAGGGGAAGGAATATCTACAGCCTTGACAGAACCATACATTTGCTGGTCAAGCCTGGTGAACCTGGTAAAAACTCGGCTTTCCGGTGAAGATTTTCCGGTCAAAATTGACCGTACCAACACACCACGGGGGTTCTGGTGAAGATGTTCCCAACACCACTTGCGTGTGGCATTTTTTCCACCAAAATCCCATGGTTTGTTTTCCATATGTTCCATATTTTCATATATTTTCCATCCTTCCCAACATCAGAGCACCACATTTTCGTCATTTTCCACCCTTCCCTTCCTAGGGGATCCTAGGGGCTGACCCCCGGCCCCATTGGAGGATTGGACGCTGAATATCCTGGAGTGGACGCAAGGCTCGGTGGGCGCCACCGAGGGCATCAGCTTCTTCCGCATCGGCAAAGCGGTGCGCTTCCTGCGGCTGCTCCGGCTGCTGCGGCTGCTGAAAGCTCATGGACCCAAGGGGATGGATAGGGCGGATAGGGATGAATTGATCCAATGGGACCGGAGGATATGACATGATTTTGATTTGATGATTCCCATGATGTGATTTATGAGGTGATCTATGATATGTTGTGATATGATATTCAGGGATGTATATAATAAGAGAGATGGGATGATTGGGATCTGGGGTATTGGTGAATCGCCCCACTTCGTATCCGCTTCTTCCTGTGTAGAAGGGATGTTATGGTCATACTAACCAGCTAGCTGGGACGATCCTCCTTTTGTCAGACACGCAACATGTTTGAACAAAAGGATGGATGGGGATGAACCACCTGATGATGAAACGCTGACCCTTCCTGGAGATATCTGCAGATTTTTGGTCCTTGGTAAGAATTACTCACGGAGAAGCTAGAGAGAACCTAGCAAGTGAGGCATCTTATATCATCTTCCATCTCCATTCCTGCTGCATTTTCAGAGTTTCTGCAAACTTTTCTGTCATTTTCTATCCCTTTGCCAGTTACTATACCAATTAAACCTGAAGAAATTCCTGATGAAGTTTTGGTGGAATTGCAGGACGCTTCAACGAACTTCTGGAGCACGTCCAGTCAGAGCAGCTTCACTGCAACTGCCGTGGTGTGGCTGACTTTCTGTTGGGGAAACCTCGGTGGATGTCATAAGTCATAAGATGTCATAAGATGTCATAAGATGTTATACCCTCTGGTAATTTAACGTAGCTATTGAAAATGACCATAGAAATAGTGGATTTTCCCATGAAAAATGGTGATTTTCCATAGCTATGTTAGTTTACCAGAGGGTAAACATATTCCATGAAGAACGATCATTTGGTTAAATTACCCTCAAGAACCCGAGGTTTATCGTGATCTGAGAGAAACCAGCCAGCCAAAATCGCTGGACAATTCTTGGATTCAAGTCACCAGGGTCTGGATGAGTTTGCCAAGTCCTGAGGTTTTCGGTGATTGTCATTGGAATTTTGAAGCTGAAGCTTGGCAAGACTGCTTTGGCACAGCCAAACATGCTATACATGGAACCATGATGAAAGACGATGAAAGATGAGAATACATGATCTGAAAATGAAGGTTCTTGCGGGATCACTGTAAAATTTGGATGATGCAGCTGTTGCGACATGGGCTCAACGGCTTCAGTGGCAGCTCGTTGGCAGCTCCTTCAGGATAGCCTTTATTTTATTGCTCAACCACCTGGTGGCGTGTGTCTGGTTCTGGATTGGGACACTTGGCAAAGAAGCCGCTGGCGACAGAGCGGAACATGCGATAAATCCGACTCTATGCAATCTCCACCAGTGTTTTTTTGGTGTGTTTTCCATGGTGTTTCCATCCCATGCATCACTTATTCTTTTTGTGGTAAATCAATGCTGAAACTTAAAATGGCACCGAATCTAACCCACTTTTGTTTTGGTGGAATAAACCGTAGGTTTCTTAAAGATGAGCAGCTCATCCATGTCACAGGTCACATCTCCAGATTCTGTCGCATGCTGCATGGACCCCCTGTGCTGTTGCAAGGACATGGGGCAACTCGGAGAATATGAACACCTGGTGGCTGGGCAGCAGGGGAGGAACGGTGGATGGCACCCACCCAGAGATTCGGCTCGCGATGTTCCAATGCACATATTCGTGGTGAGGTTCTCTATACCATCAATCATACGAGATTCCCAATGGTATGCATTTTCCAGGCACATATATATATATATATATATATTCACCCCGCTTCGCGTGGGGTGGCCGCCCACACCGCAGGTTTATTTCGGTCCGTGAGAGGGGCTAAGGGTGGTTTTCCCCCGTGGGGGCTCCCCAAGCTAAGAATTTTCACTTTTGGGGGCTCCCCAAGCTTTCCCCCCCCGTGGGGGCTCCCCAAGCTAGGGAATTTTCACTTTCCCCCCCCGTGGGGGCTCCCCAAGCTAGGGTCACTTTTCCCCCCGTGGGGCTCCCCAAGCTAGGGAATTTTCACTTTTCCCCCCCGTGGGGGCTCCCCAAGCTAGGGAATTTTCACTTTTCCCCCCCGTGGGGGCTCCCCAAGCTAGGGAATTTTCACTTTTCCCCCCGTGGGGGCTCCCCAAGCTAGGGAATTTTCACTTTTCCCCCCCGTGGGGGCTTCCCAAGCTAGGGAATTTTCACTTTTCCCCCCCGTGGGGGCTTCCCAAGCTAGGGAATTTTCACTTTTCCCCGCCGTGACAGCTTCCCAAGCTATGGAATTTTCACTTTTCCCTCCCTTGGAGGCTCTCCAAGCTGCGGAATTTCAAATAGCTAGACAACGACGCCTAGATAGTCCCCCAAATCCCGTGTTCTTTGAATGTGTTTCCATGTTTTTGCAATGGTTTCCTTCAAAGCACGGTACTTTACACTTTTGTCGCCATAAAACCGGTCGAAAACATCATGTTCGACAATGCTTCCAATTCCCTTATCTCCCCAACCGTTGAAAATACCGCTATTTACAGTGTTTTCTTCAATTTTTCCATGTGCCAATGCCGGTAGCCAACTCCAACATATATATAAGAAATCCTTCCAAAACATTTTTTTTGACAGTGTTTTTCCAATGTTTCCAGTCAAACAGACGGTAATTTACACGTTTTTTGCAATAAAGGCAGTAAACCCTTCCAAAACATTGCTTTTGACAGATTTGACAGTGTTTTTGTAATGTTTCCAGTCAAGCATACGGTAATTTACACGTTTTTTGCTATAACGTCAGTCCAAAACACTTGTTTTTGCAGTGTTTTCAATGCTCTGGCATCCAAAAACCCTGCAAAATCTTGCTATGTACAATGTTTTTTTCATTTTTGGCCGTTTTTCCATTGCCGGAAAGCTACCAAAATGACCCAAAATTCCATTTCAATACCCTCTTGCGCTCAGACACCCAAAAATCCTCGAAAAATGTCGAAAACACCACCGTATTCTGGTCTCGGTGCGAAACCGTTTTTTCTGGTCTCGGTGCGAAACCGTTTTTGGCCCCCCCCCCAGCTAAAGCTGATATAGCGACTGCTATATTAACAAATGTCATTGAGCATTTAGTGTTGCTGTTGCCCCCCAATAAGCACGCCTTCACCGCCAAAGCGGTGTGGGCGGATTTATACATATTTATACATATACATATGGTATTCACTATGATAGTTCTGTTGATTTGCGGTAAGTGCTCTATTCTATTAGTTCTATCTTTTCGTTGCTGGATGGGGTGATCTACTGAGAATCTTCGTACTGTTGGCCCCTTTGGGGTCAGAAGTACTGGAGCCATTCATCGATGAGATGTCCACATATGATCACATGAATATGCAGTATATCTGCATCTAAATTTATAACATGTGACATCATGTGACCGCAAAGGTCGGACACTATATATATATAATATATATATATATATATATATTTATAGATGTATATATGCATATACGTATATATATATATATAGATGTATATATATACATAAATAAATAAATCTACCGTGTAACAATTCGCTGGATTCTGACCCCACAGCTTTGGCCCAACGGGAGTGAAGCGCCACGGCTAGGTTGGGATCTTCCGGAAACGACATCCTGACGGCCAACCTGGCGTATCAGTCCCGAGCCAAGGGGATTGTTGCGGTGATTCTCGGGGACTATGTGAGTTGGGGATGATGAAAATAAAAGTAATATAAAGTAATGATATCACATCCAGTCCAAAACATAAGGGGAATGATAATTTATGATAATTTACTAGTTAGGGGGATCAACTGGATATGTTAGTCGGTAAACTATCCCGTTGAATTTTAAAAAGACAATGGCTCAGGGGTTATATACGTAGTTCGTGCACGATTCTGTCATGGGTTTCTCCTTGCAGGGGTTCCCCCACAAGCCATGCTTGTGTCACAATGGTATGACAAAAACTGCAAGGTATAGAGCTACATGGTGTCAGCGAAAAACAGATTGTTTCGGAGGGGGAATCTCCCGACAAGTCAGGGTTTCAAATCCTCATGCTGGATATATTTGGAAATCAGTCAGCCAAATGTATTATGACCCGATTTGGCGCAGTTTAACTTGTCTGGTTGGCGGAATTGGATGATGGGCAATGCGGCAATTTTACAGGAAACCCTTTTGATGGTACCGCACTACAAGTCCTCCATCATCGTCATCGTCATCATCATCATCATCATCATCACCACCACTGAGGTATTTTACTTCGCTGCACTGGTCCCTGACCCAGTTCACACCTGCCTCCATGGAGGCCCCGAGAACTCATCGGGATGGACCAACAATCCAAGGGGGGGCAGAGGATCTACAGATTGCTGGTTTCTGCCATAGTGCAGGCTGCCGTTCTCCATGTATTCAGGCCGTAGATTCAGGATGATTCAGGTATTGAAAATCCCAACCTGGACAATTCCTGATTGAAAATCCCACGGGCATGGCCAGCTGATGGCAACCCGCTGGTCAAGTCATACATCACAAAAGTCCCAATCCCATCCAATCCTCACTGTAGCCTGCGTAGCATGATGGGCCCCTACCACCGATGAATGGTGTTATCAGTTATCATATCACATATCCGACATATCCCATATCACATCATATCACAGCACATCACCCAACATAGCCCAATGTTGTGACAAATGATCTGCGTCACATTCTGCAACATTCGGCAATTAAAGGTAGCCCTGGCCCCCTGTGCGCAGGTCACACCGAAGAATGAGATCGAACGGCTCTTCAACGTGGTGGTAATCATGTCGGCCATGGTGATCTTCTCTACCTTCATCTCAGCCATCACCAATGCCATGAATCAGCTACGAAACCTCAACAGCCCCTCAGGATGTGAGTTACGCGGGTGATGATGATGCCAATGGTTGGAGAGGGTGTCTTCATGTTGTTTTTTTTCCCTCCATTTTTCGCGAAGGTCTCCAAACATGATCTCCAAGTTGTGTTCTTTTTATCTGCAGATTTTCCAGAACTGGTTCCAGTTTTGAATGGGGAACAACTGAAACAACATGAAAAAACCCATGCTTTTGGTCACCTCCTGTGCCCTGAGGTGAGCGGAATGAGCAAGCCTCCCTGCTCCGCCGGTATATGCAGCAAAACAATGCGCCTTGGATCCATGGGTGAAACCAATGGTTGGTCGATGTTGGTGATGTTGGTGATTTCATGCGACATCAATTTTTCAACCGTCGACTGAGCCGACTTAGCCATGGACAGCCCTGGGGCCTTTGGGACGTTGGACGAGAAAATAGGTCAGCGGCTTGTTGGATAAGGCTGGTCCTACATGCCAACCGCGGAAGTTGAACATGAACCCATCCCAAATCGATTGCCCAACAGTTTCCAACTGAAGAAAAATATGGCTACTCTGGTCCTGCTTTTTGGCAAGGCAAGCTCCCGATGATTCAGTAAGAGCATGCAAAAAAGATCAAGAAACGATAATTAGAGATATATTTTCGTATATTTCACCCCCCAGCCATTTCCGTTCTTTTCCGTCAATTTTCAAGGGACAAAAAAACAGCAAAAAACACAACATCATCTATAACCTCATAACCACGCACACACACATACATAAATAACATTAAATAACTGTAAACAGATCAATACGTAGATCAATATAAATATAGAAGTGAAGCACTTTATATCTATTTCTTCTTTTAAAACACACACATGCATCTATATATATATACATATATATATATACACACACATATATATATATAATAAATAGATAAATGAATAAATCAATATATATATATATACACATATACACACACACACATATATATATACACATATATATATATATAGATATTTTTGCATGTGCGCATCATTTCCCAACATCTTCAGCAACCTGAGGTCTCAGCGCCTCTGAAGGCGCGAGTGCTGCAAAGTATCAAGGCCTTGAGTCAGAACCGCTCGCGCGTGTGGGGTTCCCCAGGGACCCAAGGGGACCCTTGGGGGTTGACAATGTCAGGGTGGTTTGATGGGGGATGGTGGGGAGTGAAAGTTGGAGAATGGGGATATATTGGGGATAGCAATGATGTTGAACATTGCTAAACTATGGTCAATAACAGGTCTCACGTGAAACTGAGACATGGCATGGTGTGAAACTATGTTAGACATTGCTAGACTGTGATGTTGAAAGCAATGGAAGTGGAGCAACTCAAGGGCATAAGGGTCTAGACTCGAATGCCACAAAGGCCAGGTTCATCTGCCCGATGTGTGGGAGGCCCTCTGAATGGGTTTGGCTCAAAATGTGTTCCTCCCAGTTCTTCCTAAATCCAGTAGAGTACTGGCCATTCAATGTGTATGTGAATTTACTATTTGAGTATATTTGAGTGATAGCCTACAGTGATAGCAGATCCAAATTTGGTTTATAATCCCTAGTGAAAGTCACACGCCTTCTGCTTTATTGGCAAACATGCAGTTGAGAGCAATTGAATTCATCAATTTTGAATACCCTATGATAATTTATCAGTTTGCTATTGAAGCCATGGCCCATAGAAATAGTTTACCTATGAACAGCATGGTGATTTTCCCCTTGTTTTGGTATGTTTACCAGAGGGTAAACCTCCATTTTCCTATGGTTTTCCTATGGTTTTCCATTAAAACCTCCATTTTCCTATGGTTTTCCTATGGTTTTCCATTAAAACCTCCATTTTCCTATGGTAAACCCAATGATCATCCCAATGATCACACAGAAAGATCTCCAGCTGCGGCTTCTTCCCCTGAAGTCCCCTGAAGTCTCCCAGGCACGAGTCCGACGCCGGGGCTCTTTGTGGGCCTTTGTGGTTGATCCTTTTGGCCTGGGTTGAAACATAAGTGTGACACTAATGGTTATGAATGGTTCATGATGGCTAAAGAAAATGATGGTTATTAATGATGGTTATTAATGATGGTTACTGGTTGGTGGTTTGGAACATTGGGATTATTTCTTCCGTATTATATTGGGAATAGAAACCTCAACTGACTTTCATATTAAACCACCAACCAGTATATAGTGGCGTTATAGACATAGTATGTTTATCTTTAAGAATTGGATAATATACAATTCGCTGTATTTTATATGTAAATAGATATGCATTCACGCGTAATTAAGATGTATATCAACCAGAAGATTAGGAACATAAGCATTGACACCCTTGTCTCCGTCTCAAGTTGCAAAATGGACGAGAGTCTTGTACAAGGTAAGCGTATCTTCCACTTGATGTGCTAGTCTAGGCTCGCCATGTATCACAAAACACCGCTTTCCTGAAAACCCGGTATCCCATCCCTTTCCCATTAAACCAGTCCAGTGACATTTGAGATCATTTAAACGTTCTATGGCGCCAAAGTGCATTTTCCCACCAATTCCCCACATTTTTGTCTCAACGCAGATGTTTTTTGAGGTGGTCGCCTTGCGTTTGCTACCTCTCAGTCTACGACACGACCTGAGCCAGGTGACGTGTGGTGCCGTGTGGTGCCGTGCAACGCGCAGAAAAGTCATGAAAAGTAGCAGATGTCTGGGTAGTTAGAGTGGTGGTAAATTATATGGTAAACATATAATCATATAGGTAAACTTAAACTACCTGCCTTTTCCTTTTTTGGATGTTGTTAAGCTATATATACCAATGTTCAATACCCTTGAAACCCTGGTGGAATGTATTGGAATGCGCAATGGTTTCCTATAAATGTTCTCAGCCAATCCATTCACCGATGAGTCATGATCAAACGTAGGGGATTCCACCCAAAAGATTCGTAGAATTGCTGATCAGGAAGTCTATGCCCCGCATGTCGGTGTGCATCCCTTCTTCTATGCAGCTGGGTGTAGATTTCTTGCTGGAGGGGAGCCAAAAGAGAGGAAAGGACGGAAAGGAAACTCATCGAAACTCCAATTTTTTTTTGGACATCGAACTGATTTCGGAGGGGACTTGGGGAAAAAACAAACTCAGCGAATTGCAGAGATTTTGAAAATTCAGATCAGCTAGCCAGCAATGAATCCGTTGGATATGAGATCACAAGATCGCTTCAGCCTTGAGCAGATACACGTTGGATGGGTGGACCCCAGCTGGTTGATCATGATAGGCCCCCAGCGATCCACCATCCACCACGAGGTGCCCCACACTTATACCGTTGGTCATAGTATGTTGGTTATAGTTAACCCACCAACTAGTTCAATAATGTTCAAACGTATCGACTAATATCTACCATAAACATCAATCAGCCAGTTTGTTCTCGACCAGTATCTCTACCCACTTGGTCAAGAAATCCTGGGGGTTCGCCATCTGCCATCGCTTCCAAGGTGTGCAACGCCTGTTTCTCCATGCAGTCGCGGAAGATTTTTTCCACCTGCTTGGCTGAGAAGAGTTTGAGCACTTCACAGGAGTTGATCACCAGCGGCGAGAATGCGCCTTGGCGGCATGGGTGCAGGGCAGAGCCTGTTCTCTCAAAAATCGGGTGAACATTTCGGTGGGGTCATGAAGTTGTACTTAGATCACCTTCAAAATCCCTTACGAGAGGTATCCAGAGTCGTCACGATATCCGAATTAGCTTCAATCAGCCAGCCCCCAGAAAAGGTCGTAATCTACAACTGCAACCCCCTATTCTTGTTGGCTATTTGGTATGGGCCCATGAAAAACAATTGATTTTTCCAAAGAGGCGACGGGGATGTGTTCCTCACACAGCAGCCAGGCCACGCACATGTACTTCGTGATCGGAGGCACTCTAGACTACTTGGCAGATGACCGTGGTGAGAACGATGCTTGATTTATCTTGATTTGTCATGGGGCGGGATGGGCTCAACACGTCGGTAATTATGTGCAGTCTTTGTGGGAGGGTGTCTGGGGCGGGGGCAGGCTTACATATAAATATAATTATATAAATATATATAAATATATATTTTTTCACTTGGGAGTTGGTCTGACTGTTGATGATGTCATTTTGTGTTTTTGGACGAATGTTTGGCGGTCTGTACGGCATGAGGGCCAGAGGCCCCCCAGGGCCATGAGATTTTCTGGTGGATTTTTCCACCTTGCGCGGGAACCCTTCAGAACAATGCCGTTTCACCCTTCAAAAATGAGGGGAAACTTCCACTCCTGCAGCCTAGGAACCGGCGATCGCTCTGGACACCGGCGCCTGGCCGCTTGGCAGTATAGTTGATGGAATTCATGCATGATAATGGATCATATGTTGACCCACACACAGATATATCATGATATATATATATACAAGTATATATATATAAATCATATAATTATATGATTATATATACACACATATATATATATGTATTGTATAGAGTATAGCAACCCCCAACAGAAAAGGTAGAAAAAATATTAAACAAGTCAGATCCCGCCAAACTCATTTAATGATGATAAATCACTGTTTTATGCATATCCTTGGGACTTCTTGGGGGTTACTATATCCATACTACAAGATCAATATGGGTACGGGTGTCGCATGAATGGAATGCCCAGGCTCTGTGAAGCGGCGCTGTGGGTGCGCTGGCAGCACAATGGCACGGCGAACACCACAGCGCAGGGCTGCGAACTCATCAGTGTGGATGCAGGCGGCTTCAGGGGGTAATGTTGAACATACCATCCTATCACCAAGTGTACAGAAACCACTGGTATCCAATTCATTTTTTTTCATGTGGAAATGTCAATACAAATAAACAAACCTATGGATTTTGAGGTACAAACCCACATTTTTGGACAAACCTCTATGTGCCATCTACGCCCTGGTAATGTAAGAAGTTAGCAATGAAAAATGCCGCGTTTTTGTCAGCTTTAAAGATGAATTTTCCATTCGAGGTTTGGTTTGACAACAGGTCACCGCCAATTCCCAAGGATTCAAACATCATTCTCCCCAGTAAAAAAGCAAACAGGGATCTCCCGTCCTTCTGATTCCTGGACCTAGTCGACTCCACACCAGTCACCATGAACGGCCCAACAGGTGGCTTGCAAAACATTCTGAAGGACGAGAAACCAGTTCGACAGTCACCTGGTAATTTCGCGGTTCCCAAAAAGATCCAGTAAGATGGATATGCAACCCAACTAACGCTACTTCATTCTATATATTGATATATTCAAAGGTCATTTTAATACTTTGGGTTTTTAAACTCATTTTGGTTCCAATGATTTCGCCTTTTTTTTGGAGGCTATGGTAGAAGCTTTCAGCTGGTTTTTTTCGGGATGGTCTCCGAAAAGCATCTTGGGGAACCCACTTTCGCCAAGGTATGCGAACATGTTCTGGAAACACTTTTCGCTCCTGGGCGGAAATCGCGGTGAGGATCTTCCACTAACTCGCCCACCATTGACCCATAGGGAGACAGTTAAAAACGGCTTTCCATTTTCCATTTGCTCGGACTGTCGGTTTTTTTTTGAGATGTCAAGTCCCCAGAATTCAATGACTAACTTGGTCCAGCTGGGAGGAGGGCCTACAGGAGATTTCTGGGTTTGTCACCATTCAGAATGGCTTTAAGATGGTAAGGCATGGGATTTCAGGGACTCTCCCATGATTTGGCCATGACCTGGTGGACTTGGGCAAAGGATTCCCTACGTTTCTGGGAAAACTTGGCAACTTATGATGGTAAAAGTCATGGTTTCTCCAATGGATTTGCCAATCCATTGCACCCAGAGGAGACGACTCGAAGCATTCGAATCTAGCCAGCACCAACCCCCAAGCTCTACACCATCGCTGTGGCCTGAGGGATAATCCAGAGGATTTGTCGGACGTTTGGTGCGAAGAGGAAGTTCTCTTTGATTGGGCCACACGCGCCATGGGTCAGGCCCGCCTTCAGCCCTGAAGGGCTCATGTAAAGGGCACCAATCAAAACGTAGGACTAGAACAACACATTATGGACCCTACACGTTTTTTTTTCTCCTTCCTGTTTGCAGTTCCAAAATAATTGTGTGTTTAAACATGTTCAAATCACGGTACTCATCCGGTGTACTCACCTAGAACCAGCGAACACTCGAAGTGTCCAACAAGGATGGTCCCAAGGACAACGCCGTTTCAGGAAAGGATGTTTATTTATCTTTATCTAACATCTTTTCTTTACATTAAAAAATACATTAAAAAATGATCCAACGTTCTAGGAAAGGAGGTTTATTATGGTTTATGTATGTTTGTTTACCCTCTGGTTATTTAACATAGCCATGGAACATGGCCCATTTATAGATGGTTTACCTATGAAAAATGGTGGATCTTTCCATGGCTATGTTAGTCATAACCAGATGGTAACATTTGTTTTGTCAATGGATTGGTTTAAGGGAAAATTTACAGGAAAACCCCATATTTAATGGGAAAATCTATGGTTTCCTGTAGATTTCCCCTTAAACCAATCCATTGATTTTGGATCCACCCATTCAATGATGAGGGCGTCGCCTGCAGGCAGAGACCTACTATGGAGATGTGATTCCAGCAGAGCCTGCGACCACGTCGAACAGTGCCTGGGCAGGAGCTAAGTCAAGTGCCAGCATAACCAGCATAGCCAGCATCCAAACCTAAGAAATGATCAACATGGTTGGATCTCTCAACCACCATTCAAAGGAATCATGTGCGTTTTTTTTTTGGCTTGTTGGATGGGAGCAACTACAAGCGGACCATCCGGATTTTCTAGACATGATCTAAGGACTTGCCAAATTTACGAAAGCTGGATTTGTTTGAGGGTTACCCGTTACCCTCTGGTAATGAACATCGTCATTCCACATAGCTAGGAAAATCACCATAAATCATCGAAAAATCATCGAACAATGAGTCATGTTCATCCATTCCCATAGCTATGTTAAATTACCGGAGAGTTTAAACCAGACTCAAACAAGGGCTTTGGCGTGTGCCGGAGGATGTTTGGGTAGATTAAAACGCGACTTCACAGGCTGACTCATTGAATCAGCACAAATAAGAGGTGCGCTGGGAAGAAGCACCAAGAGAAGCGAGTTGATTGTATCCTGTATCGCATCTTTTTGGATCTTTCCAGATTTGCGTCATGACTGGATGACCCCAGTTGCACTTTGCAGTTGGTGATGGCTGGAGTTGAAAACCAGCCCGACAGTCGGCCAAGAATGCTGAGAAGATCTGAGAAGACAAACGTCAATTGTCAATTAGCCAGTGGGATTCTGGATGCACCTGGTAAATCAAGGTAAATGTGATTAAATAAAATACCACAATCTCACTTGTTTAGACTTATTTATGAACCGCCACGTTCTCGATTTCCGTTGTCCCAGCCTATGTCATTTGATAGTGGTAAATAGGTAGTTATACTGCGCACCTTTTAGTGGTTGATTATGTAGCAGCATCTCCAGGCTCATGGTTTCGCCCATGTTGATGCCAATTCAGACACCATCCGTACTACAGGGATCTGATTTTTCTCTTTGAGAATGGTAGGTTGAAACCACCAATCCCATGGAATTTACATAGAATTGACCCTGGAAACATGCCACATGGAATCAGCATATTTTCCCTTCATTTCCAATGCGTTTTCTGCTGATTGATGCTTTTCTTGGGTGACCTTTGAGGTAAGTTCTCGCAATTCTTGCAATCACAACGCCGTGCCAGCTGCTGGGAGACAAGAGCTGGGTGATTCCATGGGGATTCCCCCCAAAAAAAACCCGAGGCAAGGTGACCCCAGAAAATGACCTGGAATAGGGGGAGGGGATTGTGTTCGTGAAGTTAAACGGTTAAGTTTGAGATACATACATATAAAATCATATAAACACACACACATATATATATATCTATATATATATGATATAATATATGATAGTTCCATTGTTTTCTCCCCTTCCGCTTCTTTTCATACAGCTTCCATGCCTTCCTTTAGGTAGCGGCTTCGTGGGCCGACGCTTCTCGGACGACAGCCTGGGTGGATTGATGCCCTCAGAGTTCCCAGCCATCTTGGTGGGCGCGGCTGCCCCCGGGCCGGAGGTGCCTGGGACGGTGCCGATGGTGGGGCCATGCCAGTTGGATGATGGGGGTCAGGGTGTTGGATGTTGGATATCTTGGATGATTCCAGTATATTCAAGTTGATGATACCCTCTGGTAAACTAACATAGCTATGGAAAATCACCATTTTTAATGGGAAAATCCACTATTAATGGCCATTTTCAATAGCTATGTTAAATTACCAGAGGGTAATTCATGTCATAATTACTGAATTATATTAACTGTTTTCAAAACATCTTTTGTTGGGCGAATTTTGATGGGCTTTTCTGTGATATCCTGTGATGATACATAACTGATTGTTGGCCAGAGAACGTGTGGTTCCTCCAGAGAAATTGCATGAAATTGCTCTAGGTTAATATTCTAGAGGCAACATTCCCATATTCAGAAAATCTTCGCATACCATGTTTTCATCGTATTCCAGACCTGGGTTTTGGTGTGTTACTTTGATAGGCATTTAAGCTCAATCTGGAGGGAACAGTTGGGCCATGGCGAATCCACTGAATGCCCCCCCACAGCTTTCTACCCCCTATGTCGTTCCAAAGCAGCTGTGGACGTTGGATGAATTGAAGGCTGCTTTGATAAGGGAGTTTCCTCATTTGCCTACCGAAGAAGGACAGGGTTGTCAAAGGTAACGTTTTTAAAGGTTGGCTGAATAAAAATTGGCCAGTTTCTTCCCCGGGGCCTCACCCAAGGTGAACTCGGAAAAACAGAACCCACTAGCTGGTGTGCCCCTGGAAGTTTGGGCTGGCTTTGGGATTGGAATTTTGGTTCTGGCCCCGAAATTTCCCTCTGTGGTCTCTATACCAGCCACGCATACTCAGAACTCTTCGCATTCCATAATTTCTTCGCACTCCACATGGGACATCGCACTCCACAGCTAGGGATGTACACATATTGTAAAATTCACGCACTCTGCAAGATCTTCGCACTCCATAAAATCGTCGTACTCCGTGTTTTTTTTTTCTTCGTTTTTTTTCCGTTTTTTTTTGTTTTGCTAAAATCGCCTGGAATCACGTTTTCTGGAATATGGGGAAGATGGAGTTTTCGCGTGCGACGTCTGTAGTTTCACATACTATCGCATTCCAGGCCATTTTGGCCAAAAAAAAGAGAAAAAAAAAGAAAAAAACAACTCAGCAGGGTGAATTGTGATAATTTTCTGGTATATGATGGAAAAAAACTGGGGTTGGATCCAAAAAGAAGGTCGAAGGGAGCCGAAGGGGGCCACGCATACTGTTTTATTTTCGCATTCCAGAAAATTAGCGCACTCCAGGGGTGGCACCGTACTCTATCGGTGGAATTATTTTGCACGGAAGAAAACAGGATCGTCGATGATTTGTGTTCCCAGATCCTGTTGTGCAGAGCTCTTTGCGGGGCCACAAAGATGTCAAGAAAGATGGGGATGGCGCTGCTGGTGAAAGGCCAGCCAAGCGTGCCAGAACATAAGCTGAAAGCTTATGAATTGGGTTTTGAGATCCTGAAAAGTGTAGATGACAAATTCCCATAAGAACGTTATTAACCCGTTTTTGGAAAGCTCAACACTATTGATTATGACATTTCCAGAAATTGTTGAAAGTAAGGATCGTCTTTGGGGAAGAACATGTGCAGTCGACAACGTACGTGCCAGAAGAAAAGGAGTACGTGGCAAACTGTATGAAATACAAGTTTCACCTGAAAGGGGTCTTCGCAATTCCCTGAAATTTCCCAGCTATTTTGGCATGGAATATGCTCGGCCCTGGAATATGGGCAAGAAATTGCTAGAAATATGCTTCTAAGATTCTAGATCAGGGAAGTACTTTGATTGGTTGTTTTCGTTTTTGAACTGGGCATTAAACTAAACCTTTAAATGTGATCTAGTTTTGGAATGCCCACGCTTGAAACATGCCCGTTGATCCTGTTGGCCACCCGTTTCCATTTATTTCTTGGGAAGAAAACTTGATACATGAGGTGCCACGTGATCCACTATAGTGAACTCATAATCTCGACCTTAGCAGTTGATCGTGTCGTTTCCATAAGTTTGGTGTAGTGACGTGGATGGTCTGGTCGGATATGGTGTAATCTTATGTCCAAATTCCCTTGAATCGCGAAGCTGAGTCACAGACCACTCAAAAAATCTGGTCACGAAGTTGCACCACTTCTCGCCGGGTCAGGTTTGGTCGGTTAATGGTTTAAGTTTTGCAATGAAAAACAGACTAACCAATAACCACAAGACGCATGGCAATGGGACCGGGAGGCTGGACGATTGGCTTCGCAACAGGAAGAGTCCGATAGCAGTTGCTTGGCTCTTGGGAAGTGGGACACTTGAATGTACATCCCACTTGGGAAGGGGTATTTGTAGGCTACATACATACATACATGCATGCATGCATACATACATACATACATGCATACATACATACATACATACACACACATACATACACACACACACATACACACACATACATACAAACACATACACACATATACATACATACATACATACATACATACATACATACATACATACATACATATATACATACATACGTACGTACGTACATACATACATACATGCATACATACATGCATACATACATGCATACATACATAGATACATAGATACATACATACATACATACATACATAAATACATACATACATACACGCATACATACATACATACATACATACACATACATACATGCCTACGTACATACATACATACATACATACACATATACATACACACATACATACACACACATACACATATACATACACATATACATACACATATACAAACACATATGCATACACATATACATACACATATACATACACATATACATACACATATACATACACATATACATACATAAATACATACACATATACATACGCATACACATACACATATACATACACATATACATACACATATACATACACACATACATACACATACATACACATACATACACATACATATACATACACATGCATACATACATATGTACACACATATATATATATAATTATATATATAATTACACATGATATTTTGGCATATGCATACACATGTGCGGCACAAATATTCACACACACACACTGCATATGTCCCATTTAAAATTGGGTGAACTAAAAAAAATCATGGTTATTGATGGTTATTTCCATGTCCCCAGCCCAATAGAGTCACCTGAATTCACCTCGGGGAAGTGGCCGGAGGTAGCAGCAGTGGCCTTTCTGACAGCGATGAGTGAAAGTTTCCGGCCGTGGGCGAGGCGGGGGACGAGTGGCCCGGGTTTTTTAAGGGTATAATACATACGGTAGAACCGTATAACTGTATAACTTCAATGTAGTGTTAGTATACACATATATATACACATACACACACACGCATATATATACACACACATATATATATACACATATATATATAACCCTGCATATATATATATGTACATATATATATAATTCCATATATATATATCGTTATTCCACATCACTTATATAAGATTCTATGCATATCTTGACTGTCTTTAATATAATCATGGGATTTGAATCATATCCACTTAGTCCACTTAGTGCACTTAGTCCACTGGATCCAAGGGGATGCTGAGATTCGCATCGTCTCAGGTCATGGCAGCACACTGAGATGTATCTCCAAGATGAGATGTGTGTAGCGCTCTGCCCGTTTTACGCCCTTCCCCTGCCGTGTTGTTTGGTGTTTCTGTCAGACTTTCCTTCAGATTTGCGATGATTTGTGGTGATTTCGCAGAGGGGTGAATCTTATATCTTTCCATTGGCAGCTTGAAGACTGATGCGTTTTAATACTCTACGTCAAGAGTGGTTGAACCCACACCAAAAGCGAGGTTTATCGAGGAAATATGTTTTTTTTTCAGTGCTCTTCATCGATTTCCCTGAACAGCAGGGATTGGTATATACAGGATACTCGACATCACCATAGGAACCCTGTTTGTTGCGACAGAAACTCCAGGATGTTGCGACAAAATTCCATGACTCACAGGTCGAGCCAGGCTCAGGGGAAGGCCATGTAACCGCGACTGTCAAGATCGCATGTCGTGTTTCACTGGACTTCCGGAGTCCACGCAGTAGAGGGCTGGTTATCGACTCCCAGCTCTCGTTTTAAGTTGAGCCACAAGGCACATGAGTCATGTCGTGGGTCATGTTATCATCTTTATAAATGTATATAAAAAAACATAAACAAAACGATATCAACGGCTATTGTTGGGTCGTGGCTTGGATGGTTTTTGTGCTCCAGTCCGGAGCTACAGAGTATGGAGTCATCAGAGCACGGACCTGCCCTTTGCCCCGAGGGCAAGGACAGGACTCACGGGAAGAAACCGTCCCTGCAGCTAAAAGCCGCCAGCAATTTTTAGGACCACCTAGCGGAGTGCGCAAAACATTTTAGGTCATCATGTCTATGTTTACCCTCTGGAAATTAAACATGGCTTGCTGGAAAATCCACCATGTATGGGGGGATTTCCCTTACATCTTAAACCCCTCATTTAATCCTATTTATATGTTTTTTTTCCCACTCAGAGGTTCATACCATGCTTTAGATAATGACCAATCCAACAAAGTGATCGGCTGCCCTGCTTAGCAGAAGGTCCCTTACTTCACTGGAGTATCCCGTTGCCATGTTTGTTTTTGGTGGAGAACAGGAATGGATTGAACCCCCAGAACCCCATTCGGAAGATGCTTAGATCATCGAATCATGACAGAAATCCAAGATTCTGTTGGTTGAAAGTGTTAGAATCCTAATCTTTGTTGTCCTCAAAGAATTGGATGAAGGGAATACTTACAGGACAGCCCCTTATTTTTGAACGCTTTCCCAGAACCAGCGAGCCTGCGATTATGAGATGCTGGCGGGATGAAGCTGCACGTTGAAGATCAGAAGCACCGAAGGTGTAGCGATTGACTCCCCCATTTTTCTGGGGGGCCTGGGTTTGCCTCCAAAGGCTTCACCAAAGCTATTTGAGGTCTACGGAGATGATTTCGAGCTTCAGATTATGCATCAATGTCAGTGAAAATGATCAATAAATGAATCGTTGCCATAGAGTACGTTCTTGGTTGTCTCTTTTGCGATGGCTGGTCTTAGCACATAACTACGGACGTGTCGTGAAGAGTCGAAGGGGTTTGGATTTTCCGAGGAAAAAACAACAATGTTTAGCTTTGAATCTTGAAACAATGAGGACAGCAACACACATTCATCATTGAATCATGGTTGATCCAGTTGCAACGTTTGGAGATGTTGGAGGCAGACCCAGATTCTTATCCCGGGAAGCGCTGTCTTATGTTTGGATGCTCTTTTGTTTTTTGACTGTTATATAGCCAAGTGTGGCTCTAGGCCCAGTCAACTTGACCCTGGCAGCTCTCATTTTTGGTTACAAAGCACTAAGCATGTGTAGCACCCCCAAAACTCGTGGGTTTCTATTCCCCCAACAAAATAGGATTCTACATACTCTTCAACAAAGGGGGGATCTCCTTCAGGAAAAAAACAAGTTCCTAATCATTCTTGGCCGAGAGACCTATGTCTCCACGTTTGCTGCAAGCAGCACTGCAACCAGACCGCAATTTCCGGGCAAAATTCACGAAGCAAAACTCGCAACGTCCAAGGGACTCCGCCTGTGACGATTGAAGGACTCTGGTGAGTGGTGTCAGGCTTTTGACTCATGACCAAATCTGTTCTTATTTTTCCAGTATGTGCGGCTCAACTACCAGGCAATTGTTTGTTTGTTACCCTTTGGTTATTTACGGGTAGCTATGGAAAATCGCCATTTTTAACAGGAAAAACATCATGAATGATCTATACATGGGCCATTTTCCATGGCTATGTTAAATAGCCAGAGGATATAGTCCGATTTCTTGAGAGTTCGGGCGAGTTTGCAACCGCCAATTAGCTAATCTTGAGGAACCAGCTGGCAATGATAGCATTGTATCCGCATTTAGTTGCCAAAGGCCCCTGGTCGATCAGATTTTTCCCAATTCACCCAAGACCTATAGTTCCTTTAAGAGGACATCGATTAGCCTTCCAATATCTTCCGATCATTTCCATCATTTAACTTGAGTGACGTGACAGGCACACATTTCTCAGAACCACCTCCAATGGTAGGTCCTGGTAGGTCATCTTCCTATTCATGGAATGCTTTGGAAAGATATGGGCACACCAAGTGGTAGAAAACAAATAGGGGTGAACCATATCCAATTACGCTCATATCCATTTCTTGTTGGGCAAAATAGGTTCATTGGAATTGGACCCATGTGGCTCAGACTCAAGCATCTCACATGTGGCGATTGTATGCGATTGTTGGAGGAAGGACAAGCACCAGTTGCCAGGTACCAGTTGTGGGGGTTTCTCGGGGGCAAGCCACAAAAGAGTCGATCACCGATAAACAAGCAGGACTAAATGAATTGAGAATCAAGACATGATTGAATAGATTCAATCTTTTCCAATGACATACATCATAGCATATCTATAGTCAATATAGTCTAAACTGTCATTAGCCTCACATATTGAATCTCTATGTTACCACCTCACATCGTGTTTCTTATTTCTTTGGGCTCTGGGACCACCTGCCAGTTCATTTTGACAGCGGTGCCACGAACTGTGCGGCTTAAGCCGCGCCCGAAGAACGAAAAAAATCGCGCACGTTGATGGTGAACATTGGGATATGGGAAAAGAATCTATAAATTTCTATACATCAAGGGTTGCCCTGTCCTCTATATCTGAGTTAGAATCTATTTTGATGGGTTAGTTGATATCGCGAGGATATCATGGGATACAATGATACAACTAACCAAGAATATGACGGTGGGTGAACATGTCACTATGTACCAGGAAGGTGATTTTTCCATTGGTTTGCCCAGAAATGGGATGTGGAAGATGAGCCATTGGGGCCATTGGGGTTTCCTCCAAAATTTCAGACGATAATACATGAGGACCAGGATACATTAGGGGTTATAGTCATTCTATTGTACATGGCGGCAGTAGATTGGGCAGTGAAGTCTAGTAGTAAGGCCCAAGTTAGAACGCTACTCTAACTATCGGAATATATCATATATATATATATCTAGTTTATTTGGCTTCTAAACCAACCAACTATAAACTTACCACCCCCCAAACTAACATAGACCCTTACTTAGAGGGGGTTATTAATGTAGTTCTATTCCCCAAATTCCCCAAATACCTGGGGTGTTCTTAACAACCATCACCTCTAGGGGCACCCTGGGTCCAAGGCACACAAGGCCCCAGTGCTGAAGTCCAGGCTGTCTCAGCTAGGCAGGAACCACCGAGATGGGGCAGCATTTTTTGGGTTTCTATCTGACCACCTGAAATTGGGGTTCTAGACACCCAATGTCTACTGCAAGTATCTCGAACCATTTCACATGGCAGTGTGTCAAAACCTTGTACCCCTGGTGGACATCAAAATAGCAGGTAAATGGATGTTCATCCCACTAAAAATGGTATTAATAGGTATTGACCCATACCCACATGTTGTAAGATTTTGTGTACTTCGACATTTTGGACGAAAAGTAGCTTAGTGGCTGAAATAGGCGCGCAATTGGGCTTCAGTGATTCATGATTCTGAAGTAACTTTCACCCATCAAAAAAACAGCCCTCGAAAAACTCTGCTTTTAGATGCTTTTAGTATATTTGATCTATTCCTGGGTCCCATACGGGCAGGTTTACCAACAGTTTGCCAGATCCATACCTCGATCCATGAATCTTGAGTTGGAAGGGATCAGCAGCGACTTGCTCTTTCTCTGGCATGTCATGGTATCAAACAAACATCTTCAAACATATCACTGGAACAGTCCCTCGGGATGGGAAAATCATCCATATTTCGCCATATTTCTTCCCTTTTTTTTGGTCATTGATGTTCAGCTGATTTTCAGCCTTCCCAGGTGCGAAGTTGGTGAGTCTCTCCAGTCATTCTGTGGCCATCATCCCTTTAGAGAGTTTGGAGGGCATGCTGCAGCTCTGTGAGGACGCTTTAGCCCCCCTGGAAGGCGGGAGATGGCAGGAGATAACTGACTGGTGATCCATCCAATATAAAGTGGGTCAGTTGGTATCCTATGGTTGATATACCATGATATAGCCATGTGATATTATATTTAGTGATATAGCCATATGATATACCATGATATAGCCATGATATAGCCATGATTAGCCAGTGAATCAATGTTCATCATGTTAATCCTGGATGTAATCCACTGACTCTACATCAGTCGCGCAGGGAACTGGATCGACCCAATTGGGGGGTCATTCTTGAGCCATCGGCCATTTGGGTCGATCGGGTCCCCAAATTTGTCCCAAACGATGTGGTCAGATATGGCAACATCATATACCCTCCGATCATGACATTCACAGTTCGCCATGGAAAGATCCACCATTTTTAATAGGTAAACCATCTACAAAATCTATTTCTATGGGCCATCTATACCATGGCAAACTGTTAGTCATAACCAGAGGGTATATGAATAGATAATACATAAATATGGTCATCATAGGTTATAATAGGTTATAATCCCCAACTAACCATAATTATCCCCAACATCATATCATAAATATGGCACATCATCCCATCATTTTCGCTGTAGGTCTGCAGGGACGTGTGGATGCTGCCGAGGCCGAGGCGAGAGCGCAACATCACGTGATGTCAGGGTTTTCTGACCCCGTGAATAGTGGCCTTATTTCAAGTTGGTGAAGAATTCAAATTTCATGAAAATAGGATAAAGTAGGAACATCCAGTACTTGTATGTACTTGTATAATGGGATGAATCGCTGTTAAAGAACATATTTCTATCCGTTTCTTGGTGTTTATATAGGGTATGAATGGTAAAACCATGGTAGAACCAGGATCTAATATGATTAATGGCTTTTTAATCAGGATTTGTGTTATCCGATTGTCATGGCAATGGCATAATTTGGCAAAGTTATCAACAATAGCCTCTATCATAAACCAACTTCAGAAGTGCCCCAAAGTGATGGGACAAAACCCTTCCGCTGACCATAGCAAGTGAGTGGTTTCGAATGTCACTTGGGATTGGTTCCAACTGCAAATGAACATTGTCTTTAGCATGATTTACCAGCAAAAATTGATATTTAAGCTGCAAAAACTGTCTTCTCATCCCTTGCCCAATGCCAAATAAATGCACGCCCAGACACCATGTAAGCTTGTACATTTTGGACACCCATAGACGGGGGGTTCTTTGTCAAAGGGATGGGATGAAATGATGAAATCAAACTGCATTTTTTTCCTCATTGAGATGATCCAACAATAAAGAAGTGTGCGGAGTATTCTTTTGTTCATGTGTTGGTTACCTGGATAAATGGTTTGCCTGAAAAGAGGGGCCCCCAAAATTTGATGCTTTTATGATTTGCATCATCATTTTCTCGGCGCAATTTGAATTTTGGTCGCACATGACTTATTTTCAGTAACCGTAACCTGAATATCATATCAAGTTGGTTAGTTATATCCAATTGTATCCCCATGATATATTCGTTTAACATGGTACAATCAAATGATTTCCCACAGTTCAACCGCCACTTTGTCTAACGGTTACGCGTTACGCTCGTGGTGGAAAAACCCAACGAGTTACGCTCCCATTTGGGGATGGTCTATGGCAGGCGAATGGGACCACGACATTTGATCCCGTGGTATCCCACCATCAAAATTTGTGTCCCAAATATGCCATGGTGTTGGTCAGATTGGTCAGTAAAAGGATTTCTGGATTTCCAAACCTGGCCATAGCTGGCCATGTTTGATGAGCGGATGTGATATCTCCATGAATTATCCAGCAATGATTCAGTATTCCTTCAATATATTCCATATTAATGTCCAGATATCCCATGATCTTCCCATGAAATATACCCCCTGGTAGTTTGTCACATAGCTATTGAACATGGCCCAGTCGAAATAGTTGATTTACATTGATTTACCCTTAAAAAATGGTGATTTTCCATAGTTATGTAACAGTTTACCAGAGGCTATCTATAATGGTTGGATCAATATCCCCATGAAATCTCCCCATTAGATCCAGCCATGGCCCAGGCTCAGCGTGCCGCAGCTGAAGTTGAACAGGACCGGAAATAAGACTGGCTGAAGGATATGGAAGGAGATGTCTGGTAATTTATATGGCCATGGATCAATACCTATACATACCATTTTTAGGGGGATGAACATCCATAAATCCCAGCTATTTTGATGTGAACTACAGGGGTACAAGGTTTTGACCCATCCCCATATAACAGTTTTGCTATGGTATAGTGTAACCGTTTTTTTTTTGAAAAAATTGTGTTTTTCGATAGCAAACTCTTGAAATTCCAGAGGGTAAGTTGGGTTATAGGTATAACTATGATAACCAGGGCTTATTTTGGATATACTAAACTAGGTACTCTAGATGGGTGTTAAACCAACTCAGTCCCTTCCTGTGCCCACAAATGCAAGAAGGAATAGACTGAAATAGACTGAAATAGACTGAAATAGACTGAATCAAAGATCGTTTAACTATAGTAGAGGCATGAACTGTTCTAGCCTTTTGAAGGGCCTCCCCTATTGGTATTTTCCATGGACTATGCCATCACCACCAACTCCCAGGTGGTTCACCCCAGTATACGTTGGTCTATGTCCATAGCCTCCATTAACCATAGATATAGCTATAGTAACCCACAAAAAGATCCAAAAGGTGAAGGTCTGGAAATTTTCACGGGAAACGACTGGTATCATTTATACATATCTATACCATACTGGCACAACTTTGACTTTCTGTAAACCCAACAGTTATTGGACTTCGCTAAGCACCAACAACTGCCAACGACCACCGCGGGTGACGCCACCGGCTTCACTAGGAGCGCTCGCGCGTGCGACGCTTGGAGAGTCGCCTTGCCAAAGCTGCAGAAGCCGTGCAAGGTGAGGCTGCGAGAGGGACACAGCACGGTGGTGCCCCTTTTTTAGTATCTATACTATATCTATAGTATTGAACATGTCGTCTATATTTTAGTATCTATAATGTGGATAAAGGTATTGAATAAATCTATAGTATTCCAAGTTGGTGGATGTATTTATAGTATATCTATATGCACATAATGTGGGTAAAACAATGCCATAATCCAGCCATGACTGGGAATGGTAAACATACCACCTATAAAAATGGTGCTTTGATGATTTGGGGGATGGTTTATGGCATTGTTTTACCTATTCATATAATAGGCTGTGCACCGTAATTACCAGCTGAGAACTGGGTACCACCTTGCTGGCCTGCTTGCGAGCCAAGAGCCACCAACAACTCATCGCAGCGCCTGTGCACCCAATCCATCTTGTTTCCCATTTGAGAACATTATTGAGGATATGACGCAGCAAATAAAACTATGTGAGTGGTTGTGAATGATGTTTAGTGATGTTTAGTGATGTTTAGTGATGTTTAGTGATGTTTAGTGATAGTGCATGTCTATTTAAGCACCTAATTACCCACAGTTACCTACACATGTATACACATATGTACATGCATGTGAACATACATACATATCTTTTCACATGCGTCAGGATATATGGTGCCATGCACTCCAGTATTATCAAACGTGGCTGGCTGGCAAATCCATCATTTATAGATCGTTTTCCCATCTATAAACCATGGCAAATTGTAGTGGATGTTCAATTGCCAGGTTTGAAACCAATGGAGGGCAACAACAGTTTCTAATAGCATGGTGAGCCAGTTATAATCCCATGAAAAATCTCAGTTATATCATCATCCCATATTATCCCACTGAATCCCTATTTTTCTAGTTTAGGTTAGGTCCCAGTAGATATAGACATGCAGTACTTGTTTATCAAACGCGTCATCTCAGTGGATGTGTTACCCAAGGCCTAGAGAGTCGACTCCGCAAGTGGCTGAAGGCTTCCACTTGCCGGCGAAGCAAGTGGCGAATGGCCGGGGATGTCGGCCATTGTTCTAAGTAAGCAAAGATATATATATATATATTTAAAAAAATAGTTTTTCCCTGAAAAATCGGATTACAACCATTTGGGGTTATAAGATGTTATAAGTTATAAGCAGTAAAAGTGGCCTTAGAAATGGCAAAAGAGGCGAGCTGAAGCGATCACACATGGGGAGATAAGGAGCAACAATCAATGGGCAACCTTGGGAGAATGGATCAGCACTCGATTGGCCCGAAGCTTTGCATGTGCACACACTCTGCCGAAGAAGTATGGCAACTAGAACCCCCTTGGTGTCGTCCTGTTGGATCAAGCAGGCCGGACCACAAGATGCGGAGCAGAGAGAGGTTCGGGCAGAAACACTTGGGTGATTGGATTGATGGTAACCCCCCCAGAAAGATAGAAACACAATTTATCACTATTTGAGTCCCCCAGATGTGATGGTTGCCATGATTTCCGATGAAGATTGACACGTTGATGCTCATTCACCCGCTTCAAGTTCCATCCTTTTTTGAGGGGTTTAGCATGGTTTAGCATGGTTTAGCATGGTTAATCATGGTTTAGCCCTGTTTTTTTTTGCGGTTTCCATCTGTTTCCATGTGATTTTGCGATTCGATGAGCTCCGGCCAGGAGAAGCCTCCCCCGTCGACGGGTTCCCTGGAGCAGAGCGTGGAAAGCTGTGGCGAGCTGATGACGAGGAGTGCATGGAGGGTTCAGACGGATTGCGTGAGCAGGAATCGCTTAGAATCTTTCTCCCCGAGGTATGAAATACCACCGTGGTTGAGGACTAGATGTACTATTCCATCTAGGGGTATTTTATAGTTTGGGGGCAGGGATTTCTTCGACTACTGAATGTTGAAGCTACATTCAACACGAATTAGATTCGCTTGATGAATGTTGGATCAAACTGAATCCACTATTCAAGCGAATTAATGGTGTACCTTCTGCAAATCGTGAGGTATATCATCATAAACAAACCAACCTCACCACTTCATTGATTCATTGATTGGCAATGTAGCAACAATAAAGTACCAAAAAGAAGATATATTATGGGAACATCTCTGGCTGACTGATTGGTGACATGTCGGATCCTTTTTACCTATTTCTAGGCTTAGGTGGAACCATCAACTATCATTGTTGATGAATGTGGCACATCCGATAGCAAGCCCCTAATTACTTAATTACATAGTCTTACCATGTCTTATCGTTTTGGGGCAGGGGGCTGGGGGCACCTATAATTTGATATTGTTTTTCTCTGCAATTTTGTTGAATCATTCGGTTGGTGGTTTCATATGTATACAATATATATATATATACATATATATATAATACTGGGTAAATTATAACGACCTCACTGCGACCTCACTGGAATCATGATTAATGAGGGAAATCATCCCCAATTGGTCTTATTTCAGGTTAGTGAAATATTATAATTTACCCAGAATATATATATATATATGTGTGTGTGTATTCATCCGTACGGCTAGCCTTCCGTGTCACTACGATTGGCATGCTCTTAAATCACTAGCCAGTCATTCATTCCCAATGGTAGCACACCTGCATATCTTTGACATACCGTATCCATCCGTATCCTCATACAATAAGATATGTGTAACCCCAAAGTTAAAGGTATTCCAATAAATCAAGATTCAAGAAACACTATCGATCAATTAATTGGGTCATAAGTCCCCACACCTGCTAAACCATGTAGTGCCCGCTTTACCATTCGTGCGTCCATTTTGCATCCGTTTCAACTCCACATCCAAATTCAATGTTTTCAATGGTGCTGTGGTGGCAGGTTGGAATCGGTAAAGCCACCTGTGACCATGCCGTCGACCAGCAGAGGCAGTTCGCAGTTTGGGTGACCTCTTTAGGTTATATAAATGTTGAATGAGCAGTGAAAAACATCCCTGATGGTTGATGATGGTTGATGTGTTTTTTTTGTATAATCCCATCCCCGGTTCATATTTTTTCCACCCCAACTCGACTCATCCCCCAAAAAAAACCGGGGAATGGGTTATACGAAGCGGTTGCATGGGGATTTCGATGAAGCCCTCAGCGGCCTGAGGTTTGGTGATCGTATAGGACTAACTTTACCACATCATATTGAGTTGTGATGGGTTTGCTTTCATGTCCGTAGCCTTTGGATATCTTTGGGTCTCTGTTCTTTCTCCAGATTTTTCAGTTGTCGTGTCTTTTTTTTTGACGACCCTGTCACACCCGGCTCGTCCAGCTTATATGAGGTTGTTGAGCCCCAAATTTGCATATATGGACTATGACGTATACTATGACCGAATATCCCCCTCTGAACTCATTTCTAAAGCCAACCCCCTGAAAACACAAACCAACCACCATGGCAAGTCAGCAGTACATGGCCACAGGCGAGCAGTGGGAACCGGACAGCAGTCAGTGCAGCTTATGCTCAGTTCATTTGGGCAAGAGTTGCTTGGATTTTCTGAGCGTAGATTGGGCGTCAGATTGGGACTAGACATGAGACATAGCCATTGCTGTAGCATCAGTACATCACTTAGAATTTTGGCTGCAGTGCTTCGTATGCACATAGTTACACAGAAAGCCACCATGAGCCTATCATAACATCATAACTATTTATAACGTACATTTGCGTGTGCCTCGGGCAAGCAACAAACATCAGAATTTAAAGCCCTCCTTGACCTCGGGATATCTCGGGATACCTGGGATGATGCCCTATCGTGGTAAAGCACATGAGCCACACCATGTCTTGTCTTTTTCCCCCAATCTTTTTGCATCTAATCCCATTCTAATCCCATGTATATCGGTATATTTACCTGCATATGGCTGTTTTTTTAATGTTTTGTTTTTTTTTGGGGGGTAAATCTAGATAGATATAGTACGTGGATGCGACTGGGCTGAGGGCACTTGAGACCGCGGCACCACTGCAGATTCTGCGGACGCTGCTTGGCTTTGGTTTTCTGGGCCGAGGGATGGGGGCCATCCACGGCCGAATCCACCTACAACTGGGGTGCGGCATGCTATTTACTAAGTAGGATGAACATGGATGAACCACGAAGTAATGGGTGGTTTCGAAGATTTGCAATCCCTTTCCATCCCTTTGGTTGCAAGATGCATTTGAATGCATTTGACATCATTTGACTCAAATTTCATCATTTGTGGGATGGGTTTTCGGAATGTTGAGGTCACCATTGGCCCAAAAAAAATTGGATCATTGCCCTGCCTTCACCACAGGATGCGTGTGTGGAAAATGTTCCAAAAGTTCGATTGCTTCTGACCACACGGTGCAGAGATGTTGCTACTTGGCTCCGACACGGCTCGGTGGTGATCCCCGGATCCGACCCGACCGATCCCCTGGTCACCAGGTCACCAGGTGGTGATTGATGTTACGGGGATGCATGACCTAAGGACACATTTGGCATGAAAAATCAGGGATTGGGAATGCTGTTCATTCGGACACATTTGGGATATTTGATGATATTTGATGATATTTGGACATCTCCATCCTTTCGTGGCCAAAGCCATGTTTGCCGTTCCAGCTGTAGGTACCCGCTGCGTGCAGCCAGCCGCACAGCTGCAGAGAGACTAGCACCAACTAGCACGTAAACTACGACAATTTCCGACAAGTTTCGGGTGAACATTGATGGTTTTAACAAATTGTTTTGGTCACAAACTATATAATCTATACTATATCTCTTGTCTACTTTGGTTTTAACATGTTTTAACTACCCTCTGGTAAACTAAGGTAGCTATAGAAAATCACCATTCTGAATAGGCTAATCAACATTAATCAACTATAAATGGGGTATTTTCAATAGCTATCTTAAATTACCAGAGGGTATCTGATGCTTGGGAGGGCGCGATTTGGAGCTATGGGATGCCCCATTTTTCCAAAGCTGTGAGCCACGGGAGCGACTCGCAGAGTTCCCCCAGCTCGGAACGTTGACGCAATGTCAACCAAGAGTGGTGGCTTCTATAGGGGGGTTCCAGAAAGTAGTTGATGATTCAATAGTTCAATATAATTCAATATAATTCAATAATTATATATATATATATATTTGATGATAACATGATGTAAACGCCTTAGCAAACATATGATTCATATACTGACCTATGACTCCTATGACTATGACTTGCTATTGAAACTTGTCCCATCCATATTGAAAATTGTCCCATCCATATGGATCGCTTAAGTGTAGTGATTCATGATCCAAGTTCGATGAGAAATGTCATCAGCCAGGCTTGTTGCCCACTGGGCACGTAGATGATGCATTTGCGTCACAGTTTCGTTTATTTTCCCCATGATAGTCCATTTCCGTGCCAGACTTTGCAAGTGATATTCTTGGTGATTTTTCGCTGTTACACCACTTTATTTTCCTTTGTTGACATTCCTCTTTTTGTTGGTAGAAAATGGTGCAGTTTTCCACGGTGCAGTTTGAAACGCAGCGTACTGGACAGGTGGTGCAGTCCCACACCTTGTGGAGACGACTCTCAGTGGCACTGAAAATTATCCCAAGATGAGTCACTGAGAGAGAGAGAGAGAGAGGATGAGTATTAGATAGATTAGATAAACAAACACACATATATATGTATAGACTAGATACGGTGGATAGATGGATAGATGGATGCGTTGTTAGATAGATGGACAGATGGAATCACAGACAGATGGATGGACTGACGGATGGATAGACTGATAGATGGATAGATGGAGTGTATGGATGTATGGATGGATGGATGGATGGATGGGTAGATGGATGGATGGATGGTTGGATGGATGGGTAGACAGATAGTTTGATCAAACCATACCGAAATATTGTGTTTCATATCACCGACACTTTTATAATATTTTCTTTGATGGTTGATAGATAGATCGGGGGGTACATCATACATAGATAAGCTGCCTGTTTCTCTCTTTCCGGGATCCTGGCGGACCAGGATGACCAGGATGGCCAGTGTGAAAGTCATGGGGCGGCTTCTTAGAGGGAGCATTTTGACTTTCAACAACATGCAGAGAGTTGTCCAAGCATTGAATAATATAATATAATTATATATATATGATATTATTGTTATTATTATTTAATATATATATATATTATATGTATATTATACATATATAATTATGTAAATACAATTGAGGACTGAAGAATTGAAATCCATTTAGAAAAGACTATTAGTGGGAATCCCTCATGAAGCCGATTGAACACCCATTGAAATCCATTTGCCAAAGCACTTGGAAGTCCATCAGAATTGAACCTTGAATTTCACTTAACTCATGGGATTGCTTGCAGTGAACATCTACAAGGTTTTCCCATGGTTTTCCCATGGTTTTCCCCTGTTTCCTGTAACCTAAACCACACCCCAAAACTCTGCACCGCAGAAGCTCCGAGATCACTTGGATTGGCCATGATTTTCTGGTGATTTTCCAATGGTGAAAACTGAATAGAGCAATTTCACCGGCTTGCCATGTGAGAATATGTTAGAATATCTGGTATAATATCTGGTATAATGTTGCCATGTTAGAATATGTTAGAATACCCAGAGTATCCGGCTGAGCGCAGATCATCACGTTTTCCCATCAGGCTTAACCCGCGTGGCCGAAGCATTGGCAGCACCCACTGGGGCCGGGGCGCCATGGCAGGGCTTTGATCAGGCCATCAGGAATCGATGGGAGATAGCCTCCAGTAACTGCGACTCCAAAATGTTTTCGTTTGGTAACTCCACATGGGGACGTTTGACCTGCTTCCATTGACAGTGGAAGGTGGCTGATGGGACAGACTGAGAGGTGAATTGTGATTGAGAATCAATTGTGGGGGGGTGGCCGATATAATATATATCAATATATATCATATATCTACGTACTTGAGTTAGATGTGAAATTAAATGCAATTCAATATTTATTTCACAGGGGTGGCTGCTATGTCTTCCCCAACGGGCAGGTGCTACGGCACTGCGAGGAAGTTTGTGGTCTTCCACCGTTTGGGGGCTCAGTGGTCCAGGGCACCCAATGGTGGCGTCAAACTTCAGATATCATGAAATGGGGGTTTCTTTTTTTATGGGTATCCCTAAGCCAGGTTTCAAGACAATTCATGGTCATCCATGACTTGGATTTCAGCTCCTGGCAGGTTGCGAACGGAACCAACCAGTTGCGGTCCCTAAACGGAACCAACGCAGCTAGGCGATGGTTGTGGGTGGGGACCCAGTGAGGAGAAATGAGGACTAAACAGTCATGGATGGACAGCCCTAAAGTTGGCCTAAACAGTCACTGAGGTCGCTACATCAAGATGTTACCCTCTGGTAATTTGTTACAGTTCGCTATTGAACATGGCCCAATCGAAATAGTTGATTTATTATACCGTATACCTAGAACAAATGGTGATTTACCAGAGAAATTTATGTAATAGTTGATTTAGGGTATATATACCTATAACAAATGGTGGTATAGCTATAACAAATATAATTGTTGATTTATGTAACAGTTTACCAGAGGGTTTACCATGGTTTACCAGTGCTAGTTTACCAGTGCGACATGCAGAGCGCAGTGGCGAGGCTCCATGGTGTCCTGCCCAGTGCTTCGATTCCAAGGGGACCGTTGGGCGACCCTTCTGAACCAGAGCGAATTTCATCGGCGAATATCAGTTGATTATTATGTACTAGTATATAATATATTATAAATTATTATATTTTATTATATATTATTAAACATTATTATATTATTATCGTTGTTGTTATAATATACTACCAGTAGTACCGCACAAGGCGGTGGCGGAAGTTTCAAAAATAGGAAACCTATAGGAGAGATGAATTGTTGTGAATCACAGATGGCAGAGCGAATCCACTGATGGACCGAAAGGTGGTTGGAGTTGTGTTTTTTGGAGTGATTGCAATGGTTGCAGTGGTCACCTCACCCACAACTGCTGGATGTAGTGTGGTGTAGTACAGTTGTAGTTGTAGTTGTAGTGTAGTGGAGTTGTAGTTGTAGTTGTAGTGTAATCAGTGTAGTTGTAGTTGTAAAGTAGTGTAGTGTAATGTAGTGTAGTATAGTGTAACGTAGTGTAGCATAGTGTAGTGTAGTCTAGTGTAGTGTGTGTTCAGTAGTGTAATTAGTTGTAGTTGTAATGTAGCGTCGTGTAGTTGTAGTTGCAGTGTAGTGTAGTGTAATTAGTGTAATGTAGTGTTGTGGGTGGTGGTGGTGGTGGTAGTAGTAGTAGTGGTGGTGGTGGTGGTAGTAGTAGTAGTAGCAGTCGTGGTGGTGGTAGTAGTAGTAGTAGTAGCAGTCGTAGTAGGTGGTAGTAGTGGTGGCGGTGGTGGTGGTGCTGGTGGGTAGTGGTGGTGGTAGTGGTAGTGGTAGTAGTAGTGGTAGTAGTGATAGTAGTGGCAGTAGTGGTAGTAATGGTAGTAGTGGCAGTAGTGGTGGTAGTGGTAGTAGTGGTAGTAGTGTTAGTAGTGGTAGTAGTAGTAGTACTAGTGGTTGTTGTTGTTGTTGTTGTTCTTGTTCTTCTTCTTCTTCTTGTTGTTGTTGTTGTTGTCGTTGTCGTTGTAATGTAGTCTGCTATAATTAGATGTACTTAGCGTAGTGTAGTGTAATGTAGTTGTAGTTGTAGTGGTAATGGTAGTGGTAATGGTAGTTGGAGTTTTTGATCCATCTATCTGTTTATCTGCAAGCTTGAAGATGAAGCTATTCTGCGAGACTTCCTCAATTTTGAACTTGACAACGTCAAAAGCAGCAATTCTGTGAGACTTCCTCAATTTTTGAAGTTGACAACGCCAAAAACGAAGCAACTCTGCGAGACTTCCTCAATTTTCCAAGTTGGCAAGATCAAAAACGAAGCAATTCTGCGAAACTTCCTTCAAAAATGGAACGTTGATTGCAGAGCTGACGGCCTCGTACCAATGCGTTTTGCGATTTTTGTACTCCACCTGTCCCTGTCTAAAGTACTGCGCCTGCCACGAAAAAGTGATGCCAGGTCAAGTGCTGCACCTGTCACGCAAAATCATCTTCCCAAAACTGACGATCTGATGCTCGAAAATGCAACCCCTCTCAGGAAATCTCCGCCCTGATCTCCTAACACATCTACCTCATGTGTCTCTTGTATTGCGCCTGCCACGCGAAATGCATCTTTCCAGATCCTCTTCAAATGTCCCACGCCTGCCATCGTTTTTGAAACTGCTACAAAACCCTCATGCTTTGCTCACTTTGACAAGGTGCACAATCCCGCGCCTGAACGTGGTGTGTTTTGCACATTTTGACTTGGAAATGTGCTTCGCGCCACAACGGCGTGCACTTTTTCAACATTTCAACTTCCAAAAAAGCTCTGACACCGTCAGTTTTTAACACTTTTGACTTCGAAATGTGCTTCGCGCCACAACGGCGTGCACTTTTTCGACATCTCAACTGCAAAAAGTGGTCCGGCCCTGGTGTGTTTTGTGCATTTTGACTTGGAAATGTGCTTCGCGCCATAACGGCGTGTAACTTTTCATCTCTCATCTGGCTAGATGGCTCCGCACCCGCCACTTTAGCGAGCCTACTTTTCGACCCTCCGGAGCCACAAATCATTGGCAAAACATAGTGTTTCGCGACTTTCCTACTTTTTCGCGCACCTGGATTTTCTTTCTTCTAAGACTTTCTCTTTGTTGATCTTCTTTCTTCTTTCTTCTTCTCTTCTCTTCTCTTCTCTTATCTTCTCTTCTCTTCTCTGACTCTTCCCATCTCTGCTTTTCACCTGTCCATATTGACGGAAGTTTGACTTCTAAACTTCCTTCGCCTATTACTACTATGTTACATTAATTATGTTACTATATATTTTTATTTATTATTATCATTATTATCATGTATAATTATTACTTTTCGTATCATTATTCTTATAGTTATATATTTTTAGATTATATGTTATTATATTGTTTTTATTCTTCTTCTTTTTGTAATTATTTTTATACATTTTATTCTATATTATTATTATTTGTTTTTTATTATTCATATTAATCATATTTCTATTTTTATTAGCTTAATATGTATTATTGTTGTTTAGAATTATATTTTATTAATTATTCGTTATTGATTATTGTTATTTTGTTAGCATTATTATCATGATTGTTGTTGTTAGATGTATTCTTAGCATTTATATTTTCAATTATTAAGACACTATTGTTTTCATTAGCACTAAAACATATTATTTTATTACTGTTATAAATATTAATATCATTATCCATTATTATTATTTTACCACATCACGGGTTGTTATCTCAGCTTTTCACAAGCACTTTCTTTGATGATTTTGCCAGTTCTTGGGGTCACTTCTCCCATACGGTACCCTGCGACCCTGGGTCAGTGCGTAGTACACGTGATCCCCGGTTTCGGGGGTCGAGTCCAAAAATGGTTTCAATTTGTAGGAAAACCGCCTGACGTGGCCATCTCGATTTCTTGACCTTGAAAATTCCCAGCTGAGATCATCCAATAATTTTGACTTTGGAACCCCTGAAAGGCATCAATCGGAAACATCTTGAAACTGTGTGAAACTGTATTTCCAACTTTTATGGCCTGCTATCAGGTCTGACAGTACCAAACTGTTTGACCCCCTCTCGGACCGCATGTTTGGGCCATTGCCATAACTGATTTTGATTCCTCGAGAGACCACCCTCAGTGGCCGGGCCCGTTTAGCAAAGACTGGGCCCTAGGCCCTTGGCTGATGAAAGTGGGCGATGGAAGCTGGCGGGTGGAGTGCTGTTTTTCTTTTTTTTGCGATTGGATGCGAAGCACTTTGGAAATTGAGGGGGAAATCGCAGAACATACAGATCATGGTAAATAAATCATATTCCCAACATTTTCCAACGCTCAACAAAAATCTGAAGGGCTCATGGAACAAAACCCGCCAAAACCCCAAACACAGGAGACTGATCATCCCTCAAATGGGCGAATCGATTGGGAATCGATTACCTCCAAATTAGGTCGACGAACAGAATGAACATTTGATGGGTATGGCCCAACATTGGATGGTTGAGTGGGTAAGTGCTACTCAGATCCCGTTCACAGTCAACACCCCCATGGTAGGGTTCCAAATATGGGTAAATCTCACCGCTAAACTATGGTTTCTGGGGGTTGTTTCATAGGGGGAAGGGATTGATTGATATATCAACATGTAAAGCAAAAATGCCATGATATTCCCATTCTATCCCCACTTTACCACCATATCTTTGCATATCCTTGATGGTTAAATCCTTATTACGGGCATTTACGGGCAAGGGATTATATATCTGGGCCTGTGACGCCAGACGCGCCCACCAGTGCGAGCAGGACGATTGGGCTCCGAGTTCTCCTGTTTGCTGATTGGTTTTGGTGGTCATTTAATGTCATTAAGCTACCCGAAGAAACATGATATATTGTTATTCTTGTTCTTGTTATTATTATTGGGGATTCGGATTACCGGATTATCATCCATAATTATTCAGAATTATCCATTATTATCCATGAACAGAACTCCTGTTGCCGCGGTGCAAGGAGAATATCTTAGGCAGACACTTATCAAAAACCAACCTGAGTATAGTGGGCACCTACTATGTCCAACAAGAAATGATATTACGTAATATTATGTGTATATATATAGATCATATGTATGTAGTGTATATAAGCAAGTATACACATATAATTATATTATAGTTACATCTATATAGAACGATGAGTAGTGGTGGTCATCCTTTCCCTTCCAGAAGTTCGTTTCAAGGAGAGGGGCTGGTTGTGCAGTCAAGTACCAGCCCAACCAAGAGGCTGTTGCAGGTGAAGGCCTAGCTCTCCACATCATTTTCCTTTCCGATTGCGGTGCCAGGATGTTTTCTTAGGAACCATTAAGGCGACGACGATCTCAACTTCTCAAGTTCCAATACTGAGTAAGCCACTTACCCATTCCGCAGTGTGTGGCTTCTTCAAGCAGATCCAAAATATCTTCTAGTGATTTCCATTCCCAAACTTGACCTTGCACCAGACTGCGAGGAAAACAGTTTTGGTCCAAAATTGACACATGATACGAGCAACATATTATAGTTATTTTTTGGGGATCATATAATTGAAAGGGAAATTTAAGGGAAATTTACAGGAGACCCTCCTGATTATTTGATTTAACCAAATCCATGTGGTTCCCAAAATCAAATCCATTGACTTTCACAGGTTTCCTTTTCAGGGGTTACGTTTTAGAAGGAACTACGGTAGTATTTTTTTGATGCCTGGTCTATCAACATCTATTAACTACATACAACAGATATTGATATATATATAATATATATATATATATTGAGGTGGCACACTATCAGGAATAAGGGATCGCCTCGTGTATATCCAGTCTAAGTGCCCGACTTCGAACGGCTGTCATGAAAAATAATTCGTGCCCGAATCTTGAACTCGCCCACATGGGCCCAACAACCCAATAGATCCAATACTAACAACATATGAGATCCAGAAAAAAAAACTGGTTATGGACCATTGTTTTTGAACATTATTGGCCAATATGTTTCAGTCTCTAATCAGAGTGTGCTGTATTTTTTGGCGGCTCTTGGGATCCCATGACGGCCAGGCAATACCGTGCTGCGGCAGCCATGAGTGATCACATGGCCAACCAGCCTGAGAACCCAAGATTTTCGGTAACCGGACCGCGTTTCTGTCAGTGTTTGTGTGTGCATTTTTTAATGGGTTGCATATGGCCACATCGAAATAGTTTTTTTTTGTTTGAGGCCACATTTTTTTCTATATATCAAAAATATGTGCAACTGTTACTGTAAATTGGGACTGTTTGTAGATGGAGATGAGACGAATCCATTTCTGCGCAGTCAGGACGGTGAAGAACCAATCCATACCAGTCAGCGTATTTTGAGTGGATTGGAGCCTGCGAAGTGAGCAATTCAACCGGCAAATACATATCTGGTTGGTGGTTTGGAACATTTTTTATTTAACCAAAAATTTGGGATGATGATCCAATCTGACTAATATTTTTTTAGAGGGGTAGGTCAACCACCAACAAGAAAAAGGTTGGGTGGGTCGCTTCAGATCCCCTCGAGATTATTGGATCAAATATGGCACAGTGGTGAACATGAACGTTGAGGTCTTCACCTACAGCCCCTCTTCACCTACATGTCATTTTCCGTTTAGAGGTGGCTCAACATGACCATATCCCAGAACACAACCAAAAAATGGGTGTGTGAAACATTTTTTTTGGGGATAATTTGGTTCTATTTTTTTGGATAGCAATCTTGTGCCATCCTGCAGCGCCATGCCGTTCGCGCTTCGATGGAGAAAACCTCGTCTCCAGCCGACTGTGCGGTGGCCAGTTGGGGTAAGCACCGAGCCTTCAACATGATCAACGAATATGACACTCCAGTCATCAACCGCGGCAATGGACAATCCCCCAGTAATTACTCCATTTAGCTCAGGGATTTCCCATCGCTATGTTTGATTACCAGAGTGTAATGTGAAGGTTTTTGTCAGAGACATTGTTTTTGTTGGCATTTTTCAGCAAGCAATAAATGTTTCAGAACATCTCTTGAAACACATTCTCCCAACATGTCTTGAAACACCCACATCAAATGCTGCTGGAGAAACCCTTTTCTTTGAACTCCTTGAGAAGGGGATAGAGAGAGAGAGAGAAATCCCATGGAGGATACCCTCTGGTAAACTAACATAGCTATTGAAAATGGCCCAGTCGAAATAGTGGATTTACTCATTAAAAGCATTGGGTGGATCTTTCCATAGTTATGTGACATTTTACCAGAGGGTATCTATGATGGTTGGATTAATATCCCCATGAAATCTCCCCATTAAATCCAGCCATTAGTTATTCCATTTTTTGCCGGATCAATCTACATACAGGATCAAACGGGCACAAAGAAATCTTGCAAAACAGGTCGCCCTGTTGCTGCTCACAGGCCAGATCCGAACGATTTTAGATGGATCCGGATGGAGATGACCAGAGCAGTCAGTAGTAGATAGAATATATAAATATATATACTGCTAGTCAGTTAGTTATAGTATATGGTTTAACGGCCCCGGTAATAAAGATGAGGCCTCACTTCTTTTCCTGCAGTTTCGGCTTAAGCTGAGACAATTTATGGGAGAACCTGTTCTCCGTTGCCTGGGGTGCTTGGGTAAGTTTGGCGCCCCGGGGGCTGACCAGCGCTGCTCCTTTTGCAGTGTCCTTTTCAGGTTTTCAAGCCTTCTGCTCTCGGATCACTTCCCGGTGTGCGGAGGGGCAATCCTTGAACCTGAGTTGAGGCAATTATACTACCGGGCGCTGGAAGGAGCCGACACCTTCAGGCGCACATCACAGGGAGGTCAGGTGCCTCCGGGATCCGGGGTAGAGGCTGGACAGCCTGACCCGCCAGCGCTGCAGCCAAAGCGAAAGGCTCAGCCCCCCCAGGACAGCAAAGAGGAGGAGAAGCCCGCGATCAAGGAGGAAACGCCCAACTACAGCCCAGACAAGAGCCCTGAGGATAGGAAAGAACCAACAACCCTTGAGGAGGAGGCAGCAAGTGAAAAGAAAAAGAAGAAGCCAAGGTTGGAGGAAGAGAGGTCCCCATTCCCCCTCAGAGCAGGTGATTCGAGGAAGAGGAGGCGAAGCCGAAGTCCCCAGTCATCTCATATAATTAAGGAGAAGGTCCCCACATAGCAGGAGGAGATCCCCTGAGGAGAGAGGCAGAGAGAGGAAAACCAGACCGAGATCAGAGAGGAGGAGCCGCGATAGGCGAGGATCTCAGAGGCCAGTCTCCCCGTTGAGGCCTCGTAGCCCGGCTGGGCCGCCTCCACCGCGTGCCGAGGGGTACGGCCGGTGGGAAGGACCTATTCCTGCGTACCGGGGCCAAGAGGAGTGGCCTAGGTACCCAGACGCAGAAAACAAAGGGGTGAAGAAGCGCAAGCAACAGGCGTTGTTTGCTGAGTTCAAAGCTTGGCGGAAGAACAAGAGGAGGCGTTAGATGCCTCCAAAGGCACTGGCCCGGCCTGCTGCTGCCATTGGAGGCAGGGCACCCAGGGCTAAAGCAAAGGGCGTTGCAAAAGCCAAAGTGAGGGTGAGAGGAATTTTGAGGAGGCCAGCAAAGGCTGGAGAGGCAGAGGAGCTGGGAGACAAGGATATCTCCGAGGCATTTGAGGAAGGCAAAGAAGTAGCAGCAGCAGAGCTACCTTTTTCAGCATGGCGCAAAGGAGTGAGGCTCATCTTCAGAGATGCCACCTATTGGGAGGAGAAGGTGCAGGTGGTTGGGGTCCTTCAGACTTTCCAGGTGGATAGAGAGCAAGTGACCCTGAAAGTGCAGTTAGAGGGAACTCGATCGGAGTCCTTGGTCAAATGGAGTGGGGCCCAGCCGCACAGGATGATGGACGTTCATCTATGCCATCCCGATTGTGGCCACCTCTCGAAGGATGGGCTGCTTCATGTGGCACGGGTGCAGCAGTGGAAACCCGAGCTGAAGGAGGCTTGGATGGACAACCTGATAGAAGTGAGCAGGGAGCCAAGAGAAGAGATGGACGAGTTGGCCAAGATCAGAGAAAGGGCCCAGCAGAGGGCTGTGCAAGCAGGACACGAGTTGGGAGGAGGTCAAGCAGGCGACGAACAGTCGGTGGCATCGAGCAGTCCAAGTCGCAAGAAGAAAAAGAAGAAGAAGAAGAAAAGATCGCGAGAGGACGAGAAAGAAAAAAGCAAGGTGAGTGCGACCAAGGACCTCACTGCAATCTTTGGGAATACAGCGCTGGATCCCAGTCCAACAGTGCGCAAAAGGATAAAGAAGAAAGCAAGGAGGATTGCAAAAAAGAAAGGAGCAAAGGGGAGGTCAGACTCTTCCACCTCCGGTTCAACATCTGGGAGCCAGGGCTCCGAGGTCGAAGGAGGCCGTTTGTTCGGCGAAGAAGTAAGAGTCAAGAGCCTCTGGAAGGCTCATCCGGGTGCACTCACCCTCAACAGTCTGGAATATATCCAGAACATGGTGGTGACTCAGGCCGGGCAGATGTGGAGTATAGACACCTCCTCCCTGCCGCCCCTGTTCAGTCAGTTTTGGAGGATGATCCTGAGTGGCAAAGCAACGGGTGCGATGGCACGGGAAATGCAAACGTTATGCTTTATCCAAGATTTGATCCTTCAAGGAAAAATCGCTTCTGCAGCAGACGTGATAACGCAACGACTAAAAGGATTAGAACAAGTAGCTGCTGGGAGTCATTACTCCATCACTCAAAGGCAAGAACTCGTGCCGGTCGACAACACGGTCATGACGACGCCGACAGAAGCTTTGGAGGCATCCAGACTACATCGAGAAGAAGCTCGAGCAAAGGCAGCTTCATCAAGACCGTGGGATACAAGGAGCGATTGGGGGCGAAGAGGCGACGAAGGCAAGGGCAAGACAAAAGGAAAAGATTTCAAGGGCAAGTCAAAGGGCAAAGGAGAGCATGGGCAACAAAAGGAGGATCGCGAGAAGGGAAAGAAGTGAGCCGCGAGATGAGCTGGGAGCCGAAGAGCTCCGAGGCCGTTGGAGCGGCTGAGGATTACTGGGAGTTGTCGGACTCTGTGGTAAGTGCATCGAATTTAAGTCGCACTGAGGGTGTGCTGGTGGATGGTGAGAGCGCGGGGCATGGGCCGGCGCCATATAGGTGCCCTGCGAGCTGGCCAGACTCCAGTTCTCCTGAGACGTCTGAAGGACCGACCGGTCTGCTAGTAGGACGCGAGCAGTTTTTCACGGTAGGTCGCTGTTTTGGCGATCTGGCTGAGCCACTTCATGAGTTTCTTTTGCGTTTGGATGTTTGTTCGGATGGTTTGCACAGCAGGGTCCAGTCCTCCGGCGGGATTTTTCCCTTACCTGAAAACCCCCGGGTTTTATCCACTCTTGTTCCAGATGTTTCTGAAGCTCAGCTTGGAGTTCTGCGTGGAGTCTGTAGGGCGTTAAATTCCTACTATGGAGTAGCTGCAGGCGACAGGCCAACAGTGTCCTCAGCGACTAGGTTGGCCATTCAAGGCCTGGCAGGCGACGTTCGTGACTCTGGTCTTTGCGCAGAAAAATTTGAAGGAGTTTCTTGGGAGCAGTTCCTGGAGGTGAGAGGGGTAGACTATAGAGGTGAGGAAATTAAGGTGGCAAAGTCTTTTATCTGGGAAAATATTTCACCTGCTTTGCCGGATGGCATAGGTAGCATTCCCTTAGAAGAAGTATGTGAAGGAGGTACACTGGATTACATCACCCATTTCGAAGACTATCTGTTGCCGGAAGAATCTAGAGTTTACACAAAGCCACCCCGCGTATTTGTGCATGACGAAGGGTGGAAAACGATTTGCTCTGGTCTTTTGGAGAAAGGAGTTTGCAAGCTTATTCCTCTTTCAGAGGTCTACCACCTCAAAGGCCGACCCATTTTCAATGGTTTATTCGGAGTTTCAAAAGAAGAGATGCATGGTGATCACGAAGTTTTTCGATTAATCATGAATTTGATTCCGGTAAACAAGCTGGTACGAAATTTGGAAGCTGACGTGTGCACACTCCCCTCCTTGACGGGGCTGGGTCCCCTTGAACTACGGGAGGAGGAAGTGCTTGTCATGAGCTCCGAAGACATCCGGTGCTTTTTCTATTTGTTTGCTACTCCGCCTTCTTGGCATCGGTTTATGGCTTTTGGTAAAGAAGTTCCGTCTTCCTTGGTTCCAGGGGGTGGTGGTGAGCCCCACTTTCTGGCGAGTCGGGTTTTACCCATGGGCTTTGTTATAGTAGTGTCGCGATTGCTCAACACATCCACAGGCGAGTGGCCAGGCTGTCCTTGCATGGATTGAGTCCCTCTCGGGGGCCGCAGTGTGAAATGAGAAAAGATCGAGGGGGATCCTCTTCAGACTGGCTCTACCGGGTGTATTTGGACAATTTTGACACTCTGGAAAAGATGGATCGCACCACAGCAGAACTGATTAAAGGTGGTCCTTCCATGGAGGTGCTGGCTATGCGGCAGGGCTATTTGCATTGGGGTATGCCGCGGCATCCGAAGAAGTCGGTTGAGCAGCATCTCAAAGCGGAGGTTCAGGGTGCCCTCGTTGATGGGACCACCGGGCGTGTTAAGCCCAAACCTGCCAAAGTGTTGAAGTATGTGGAGCTTGGGCTTGCTCTTCTCCAGGCGGGTCGTGCGAGCCAGAAACAGATGCAGATTGTCTGCGGTGGATTTGTTTACTGCGCTATGTTCCGAAGGGCTTTGCTGGGTATGCTTAATCAAGTCTGGCAGTTTGTGGTGAGCTTCGAGGGTGAGCCTCCGGTGGTCAAGAAAGAGCTGCCTCGCTTCGTGAAGTTGGAGCTTGCGAGGTTCATGTGTGCTATACCTCTGGCACAAATGGATTTGCGGCTGCAACTTCTGGGAGGTGTCACGGTGAGTGATGCCTCCGAGTTTGGAGGTGGTTTCTGTGTGAACCAAGGGCTTACACCCATGGGCGTCCATGCTGCGTCTTGTCAAGTTCGTGGAGACCTCCCTGACCTGGACGACCACGTTCAGGTATTGACAGTGGGGCTTTTTGACGGCATTGGGGCCTTAAGGGTTGGAGCAGACGTCCTTAAGCTTCCAATGGCTGGCCACGTGAGCTCGGAAGTCTCAAAAGAGGGATCGCGGGTTCTAGAGGCCAATTTTGCTGATTCCATTCAAGTTGGAGACGTAGCAAACATCGATGAAGAAATGGTAAAGCAGTGGGCTACAAAATTCAGTAACGTAGGGGTTGTGCTGGTAGGTGGGGGTCCCCCATGCCAGGGGGTATCGGGCCTCAACGTGGACCGTAAAGGCGCCCTCAGAGATGCCAGAAGCAACCTGTTTTTCCACGTGAAGAGGGTCTTCAAGCTGGTGCAGAAGTGTTTCAGGTGGTGCCAAGTCCATTTCATGATGGAGAGCGTCTTTTCTATGGATGAGGACGACCGGGTGATCATGAGTGAACATATGGAGGTCCTCCCATATATGGTTGATGCATCTCATATCTCCATTTGTCGCCGACCTCGCCTTTACTGGCTGTCATGGGAGATTTGTGAGTCTCCTGAGGTCAGGTTGGAGTCGGTGAAGGGAGATGGCACAAGGCCATGGGCTGGGTACATTGCAGTCCACCTCACTCATGATCCCGAAGAGAGTCCTTATTTGAGTCCTGGTTGGCAGATGCGTCAAGGAGAGAAGCTCCCCACATTTACCACCGCTCGGCCCCGTTCTTCCCCAGGGAATAGGCCCGCGGGACTACGCCATTGTCAAGAGCATGAGCTGGCACGGTGGAGAGCGGATGATCACCGTTACCCACCTTATGTTTACCGTGATCAGTTTTGCCTGGTGAACTCAAAGGGTGAAATGAGGTTGCCTTCTATCAGTGAAAAGGAAGTGATCATGGGGTTCCCCTTGGGTTATACCTCGCTTTGTTTGCCCAAGAACCTGCAGAAGGGTTCGCACTATGAAGATGTCAGACATTCCCTCATTGGGAATTCGTGGCATGTGCCGGTTGTGTCTTGGTTGATGATGCAGCTGTTCGGCCCTTTGTGCCTGACTCCCCAAAAGACTTTGGGCAACCTTTTGGAGGCCATCCGACCGGGTAGTGAAAGGCAACTCCAAGGCTTTCTGAAAAGACTTCCGCTTAGGGAGACTAAGGGAGCGGTGGCTCCGGTGGATGAAGTGGTATTGGCCAAAAAACTGACCAATTTTGTGTCAGTCAAAGGTGAGGATTTGATGCTGCAGGCCGAGTCAGAAAATTCGGTCAAATTTCACAGGCTGCGGGCTTCAGTTCCATCTAAGCTGTGGCGATGGAAGGTTGTGTGCGGTTGGCCTTGGAAACATCCAGGGTACCATATTAATGTACTCGAGATGCAAGCTGTGTTGACGTCATTACAGTGGCGTATTGGTCGCAAGCGGCATCAGAGGTGCAAATTTGTGCACTTGACCGACTCCCTGGTTACTCTCCATGCTTTAAGCCGCGGGAGATCCAGTAGCCGAAAGCTTAGAGCTGTACTCTCCAAAATCAATTCTCTCCTTCTCGCCTCGGGCGTCCACCCCGTTTGGGGTTATGTGTCTACAAAGCAAAACCCTGCCGACCGGCCCAGCCGGCGGCCCGTGTTAAAATCATGGCGAAAAAAGGGGTGATGCTTGAAGGGCGCTCGAAGGAGGAGAGAATCAACAAAAGGAGACAGCTTGGGAGTCTACGGTCTCTGACCGTTCAGCCTTCAACGAAGAAACGGTATGATGCAGCACTCAACAAATTTTTTGATTTCCTCAAGTTCGAAAATATTTCTCTTCCAAAGCAACGAGTCCAAATGGATGGGCTTCTGAGTGAGTATATCGAACATTTGTGGAGCTCTGGGGAAGGGAGGGCACTAGCCTCCGATACTGTGGCAGGACTGCAAGATTTGGAGCCTCATCTCAAAGGTGGGCTGCCAACAGTCTGGCGACTGCTAAAGGTCTGGAATCAAAATGAGATGCCAAATCGAGCTCCGCCAATGCCTGAGAGTGTTTTGCAAGCCATGGCTGGGCGTGCTATTTTCCACAATGAACCGTTCTTTGCTCTGTCGTTGCTAGTTGGTTTTTATGGAATGATGAGAACTGGGGAAATTTTATCACTGACCCCTAGACAGGTGGAAGTGCAAGACTTGCGCTCACCGGCGGTCATCTCTTTAGGACTCACCAAAAGTGGAAAACGTCAGGGTGCCTCTGAGAGCATCACTGTTACGGTTTTTGATGTAGTCAGAAGATTGCAGCACTGGAAGCTTCATTCTTCCCGATCACTTACCAGTTCATCTGGAGCTTGGCGTGCCAAGTTTTCAGAGTATTTAACTGAGTTAGGTCTAGAAGAATTTCAGTTTCGCCCCTATAGCCTTAGGCGGGGTGGTGCTACGTTTTGGTTTGCTAGGCATGGGTCCTTAGATCGGTTGCTGATACAGGGCAGGTGGCAAGCTGCCAAAACAGCCCGAATCTATATTAATTCTGGCCTTGCAGCCATTGCTGAAATGAAAGTTCCGCAGAAGAAACTCCGTGGATTCCAAACCATTTATCTGAATGCTCTTAACGCTGAGTTGCCGAACCTTGAGCATACTTGCAGAGCAAGTAGTTCAGGGGGACGTGGAAAGAAGAAACGAAAGGTGGCAAAAGAACGTTCTTCTTGCTTTGTGGTTTTCAGAACCAGGGTGGAGTGACCCAAAAAAGGGGTACTTGAGGCTCTGTTTTTATTCCGGCTTGGCGGAAGAAGACAGAGGGGTACCCAAGGGCCTTGAGGTTTGAGTTTTCATCTGGCTTGGCAGTGAAACTCAAAGGGGCCCTTCAAAGTTTTCAAGGGAGAAGCCAAATTCGTCATTTATTTTTGACTAAATTGATCTTGCTGTGCTGTGAAAAGAAGCTGGCGGAATCTTTGGTTTAACGGCCCCGGTAATAAAGATGAGGCCTCACTTCTTTTCCTGCAGTTTCGGCTTAAGCTCCCACCCTCTAAGCCACCCAAGAGGGAAAGAAGAAACGAAAGGTGGCAAAAGAACGTTCTTCTTGCTTTGTGGTTTTCAGAACCAGGGTGGAGTGACCCAAAAAAGGGGTACTTGAGGCTCTGTTTTTATTCCGGCTTGGCGGAAGAAGACAGAGGGGTACCCAAGGGCCTTGAGGTTTGAGTTTTCATCTGGCTTGGCAGTGAAACTCAAAGGGGCCCTTCAAAGTTTTCAAGGGAGAAGCCAAATTCGTCATTTATTTTTGACTAAATTGATCTTGCTGTGCTGTGAAAAGAAGCTGGCGGAATCTTTATATACATATATGCATATATATATATTTAATGTATATACATGTCAGTAGTTAGTGGTGCTCAGTAGTTAGTGGTGTGCATCTTTCATATAGGCACATTTTCATGCATGTTGCGCATATCCAGCCATCAAATGGTGTCTCAGGAAACTCCACTGGTTTGAGGATTTCCAAGCCAGGTTTGGCCTTGAGACCCGGACCATTGAGGCTGGAAGCGGCGGGAAGGAATATGCGGATGGCGTAGCATGGCTGTTTGTTAGTTTTCACTATTTTTTACACGTGCATGTTGACTTTCACACAACTACATGCAACATGTGCTTGTGATTTAAAGATCTTATCATTTACAATATAGCATCGTATTATATACTAGCATTGGCTTTTATATCATCTATTAAATATACGTAGGTTATCTATCCATCCCATATAGTATCATGTAGTCCATTCATATCCCATAGTCCATTAATATCCCACATACACACACACATATATATATACATATCATATACACATATCATAGTCACAGGAAAATATCCCGCATATTTTATATCTCATTTATATTCTATATGGGATGTATAGATACTACATGGGATGATATATATGATATTATATCAGGATATACACATATCATTAATATTCCACATATATCTTATAATATATATTACATATCATGATGATATATATATATGATATACATGATATTATAGTATATGATATAGTCCGTTAATATCCCACATATTATAATATCCCATATACACACATTAATAGTATCATAGTCCATTCATATCCCACATATATGAGAAATACATTAATACACATTATATATTATATATTATCCATATCTATAGTTATACATATCATAAATAGTTATCTATAGTTATCCATACATATCATATCCATATCAGTTATCTATACATATCATATATACACATTATATTTCTCATTCTTCAAGCCGTTTCGAGGCTCAGCTTTTTGGCGAAGTGGGCTCCGGAGCTTCGTGCGGAGCAGCTGCAGAAGCTTCGACGGGCGTCGGTTGGCCGAAGTTCTCGGGGGGACGTTCACGGCTGCGAAACGTTAGTTGAAAATGGGAAAATCATGGGAAAATGGGAAAATCATGGGAAATTCATGGGAAAATGGGAAAATCATGGGAAAATCATGGGAACATCATGGGAAAATATAGGAAATCCTCAATGAAAATCATGAAACATGATGAAAAATGATGGTTTGAATGGTGGTTAATGGGAATTTAACCATCCAAATAGGGATATAAATGGGGATGGAATGGGTATATTTCACCCTATGATACCTTTGGATGTTGACGTTCCAGTAGTCAAACATGGCGGGCTGCCGGGAAATCCGGGACCTAAATGGAGGTTTTAATGGGAAAAATCACGTTTCCACTGTACCGGAGGGTATATAGAAATATGAGACATGTGCGGATTATTTTCATGCGAAAAAACTGCAAGAATTGGGAGTGGATCCCTTGATCTAGCCCGTTTTATAAAACATGATCTGGATTGTAAGCCAGTCAGAGAGCCAGGGCTTCGTGATTTCTCAGCAAGGCACGGGTCTGGGTCAAAATAATTTCCGATCCCCACCCCATGAAATAAACTCTGGGTGGATGAGGATGATGTTGATGGTTGACGAATAAGAAGAGGAAGACGACGACGACAACGATGATGATGATGATGATGACGATGACCACCATGTTTGGAAATGTTGTTTGCAAGAACATATAGAACACGCTAACTGTTGCACCTTTCGATGATGCTTTCTGTCAGGGCCCCCTTAGCCCTTTGATCCTTTTTGACACGCATACTGTACGTTTAGCATGTTTTAGCACCGGCCCCCTCCTGATTTGTAGATATGTGTTTGCGTCGCCCTGCGCTGAGGCATCGGCAAGGCTTATTCCAGTGCGAAGATAGGGTGAACTCGGGCAAAGAACTCGGGGAGGAGGAATTGCTTTGGAGCAGGCAGCGGGGTGACCATGGGTTGACCATTCGATCCAAACTCCTGGAAGTCTTGGCAACAGGCTGCGGAGGATCGATCGATTATTTCGGTAAATGGTTTGGATATCCCACATGATGCGACCATATTTGACACACACATCATATCATCACATATCATCACATATCATCACATATCATCACATATCATCACATATCATCACATATCATCACATATCATCACATATCATCACATACCATCACATATCATCACATATCATCACATATCATCACATATCCATGGCATATCCATGGCATATCCATGGATCATGGATGGTCATGGCCAGGGAATATGCCTCGGGTGGAGCATATCAATTTTGGAGCCTCGGACAGCCGAAGGTGGAGACGCTTGGCTTGGCTTCAGTGGGACCATGAAACCCCGAGTGATTCGTTTGATCAGCCCCCAAAAAGGAACCATCTATATACCAGGGAAGATATTTTTGGTACAAAAGCTACATGTATATATATAATTATATATATAATTATATATATATATGTATATATTATACTATATATATAGTTTTTTGGGGTGGGTGGGTGGGCCATCCATCCATTGAGCAACTCCAAGGATAGAGAACCTTTGCTCCGAGCTAAAACAGCTGGAGGACTGGGGGAAAAAACAACATCAGCAAAAACGAGCCCGGTTCCAACATGAATTGATTAATCTGGTTCCGAATCTTTTGAGGTTGCACTGTGCACATCTTTGCACCCTGAATGGTCATATCTGGTCATATATCTGTCATATATCTGTCATACCAATCTTGGCACCAAACTCGCACCCAGGAGTTTGAGGGGTTCTCAGCGGTGATTTTGGGATGTGGTTTGGGCTTAGATGCTGGGAGGCACAGCGTTAGATGGCACCCTGGGTTGCACGCTGGGGCATTCGCTGGAGTGGGATATATCACCCATGTCACAGTCACCTAGAAATGACTTTATATATCTTTATATACAGTAGCACAATTTAAGCAACTCAACAATGGTATGCGCTTTTTCCCCACAGTTTGGTTTATGTGGCAATTTTGTTTCCTTTCCTTAAAGCTTGGCGGGTGCCTTTTGTATCAAATACAATGTTTTCCTTCTCCTGCGTGGTTCTGGCTGCTTGCGGTGTTCTTTCCCATTTTGTTCGATAGTTTGTCATAGCAGCTTTCATGCAGCATTTTTACGGACGCATTTAAAGTAAGACGAGTGGTATAAGTGTAGTCAAAAAATGGTGGGTGAGGCTTGGTGAATGCTGGATTTGCGGATGGATTTCCAGCCAGTTTGAGGGAGTTTGGAGGAGTTTTCCATATCAGAAATGATCAATTCCTGTGATGCTTACATACGCTTATTTAAATTTATGGGGTTGCTGCCTACTTCCTTGGTGATATGCATTGATTGAGTTTTCCCCTTCCCCCAAACAATAAAACACGTCGAAACCAGCGTTTTGTAATGTATTATATATATAGTGAATATATTGATTCCAAGGTCCTACATGATTTTTATCACAGGGATAAAGTGAAGCATTTGCTGACCATTTTCTCCTGGTTCGTCCCAAACGATCGTGGTGAATCTCCCAAAATACGTTCGTACCAATGATGCACGGATTATCCCAATCATAGAGGCCACAATTTCAACAGAAACAAATTTTTGTGAGACGATTTTGTTGGACAATTAAATTTTAGTTGTTGGTTAATGTTAGATCCTCATAATTTTAAGGTGGCAAATACCGATTCTTGTTATTATTGCATATTATTGCTACTCACTAGTCATCTACATTGATTGTCGTTATCATTATCATTATCATTATCATTAGCATTATCACTATCATCATTATCATCATTATTGTATCATTGATTGTCATTGTCATTGTCATTATCATTGTCACTACCACTACTCTTATTCTTATATATCATCATTTACATACTAACATTATTATATATCATCATTGTCACTATTGCATAGACCACATTCTACCTCCACGGCGTCCCCTAATTAGGTGGCCCATCTGGCGTCCGCGGCCGCGGTGAACGCGGTGAACGGTTCCGCCGTGGTGGTGGGCGGAGTGGATTTCGCGTGGAAGGCCATCGAGGCCAGGAGACCTGTGGATTTTGGAAAGCGAAGCGCTCACCAGGGAGGGGTGTAAAGTTAAACATGTTTTGAACTGTTAAAGCACCACCTTACCGAAGTTTGGCTTGGTGATTGTCAACTGGCTGCCTGATACTGTTGGATCTTGGGCACCGTATTTCCATGGTTGCGTCCATGCCCATTCTCACAAGAAATTCAGACGTTGGATGTGCATCACACTAGCCCAATAATAGGCTGTCAACAAATCGTTTAGCCATGTCTAGCCACTTGCTCACCAGGTAGCTAATCCCATTTGCTCGTTTCTGGGCAATTTTGTCCTAGAAATGGTCCATTTTTGCAGGGGCATTGCGCCACCAAAGAAGCTGCACTAAAGCGAAAGCCAAGTAGCAAAGTATAGCCAAGTATAGCCAAAAACCCATGCGAAGTCATGATTGTGGAGTAATAGAAATCCATTTTTTTTCAAGACAAGACTTGTTCACCCTATCCTCAGGTGGCCCGCAGTCAGCATGGGGCCGTTGGCAGCCCAGCAGGGTACACGGAACATCTATGTGCGTTGTCCGAAAAGGGGGGATAAACCCAAAATGGCCATTGGAATGTCAGGGAAATGATGAAGATGAAGTTAGAACATGCGACTAGTGACCGGTGGATAGATGGATATATCTTACAACCCAGCTAGTAAAATTAGGCATGCCAGTAACCTTCAAAGCTTGCTAAATGCCAGTGCTTCTACTTTGCCAGTCCTTTTTTCTGAGGCCGGTTGCTTCTTCTACCACGCGGATGTGTGCGAATTGCCCGCGCCCTCGGTCCCGCTGGACATGGTGATTGACAACACCGTCTTCCAGAATGTGTTCAGGACCGGCCATGATGTGGAGAGGGCCACTGGGATGATCGATTTTCTTCAGAGATCTTGATATCAGTGAATAATAGATAGTTATAGGAACCCCCAAGAAATAGAACAGGAATTTGGGATGATCATAGAATGTTTAAACTTGAAGGTACCTGGATCCCCTTTCGTCACCACAATTTAAGTAGTACAATAGCTGTTTTCTAGGTATCGATTGGGGGTCCAATTGTGTATTTAAGATTATTTAAGTTTGCTGTTGTGTATATCTGGTTGCGTTTTTTCTCCTCGTTTTTAAATGAGAATGCGCACAGAATGTAAATTTGTTTCTTTAATTGTTTGTTCTCATCGGTAACCCCCGATAAAAGATGCCGAAAAGTGCTTTGAGGATGTTAGTTCGATATATGGTAGTATAGTTAGATGATATTTCCCACATATTTCCAGGTTTCTCCAGGTTTCCCACATTTTCCATCTATGACTTGTGGTTCCCATTCGTCCCGAAGGAGCGGGCGCTTGGAGGAGTACCTGGAGACGTTGACCCGCATCTCCACTGAAGGCGCAGTCGCGACGTAGCGCGCAGAGCACGTTGGCGAATTCGGATCGAATGGACATGGGATGGTTACACGCAAGATTCATACAGTTAGGGTCTACTCAGTTCATGTTAATTCTATAATTTCACCCTTATGATCTATTTGAAACAGACTTCTTCTTGGTGCCTGCATGAACATCCTTCTCCGGGTACATGGATGATTATACGATATGGTACGTAAATCGGGAGATTTCGTGGGCGAGTCCCAACTGCTGCCCGCAAGGCCACACGTTGGAGACTCAGCATTTGAAGCATTGGATTGCTCTTTATCAAGCAGGAGGGAGACTTCACAAGTTGCTTTAAACTTTAAAACATGTTCACGTGTTGTTTTCCGGCTCTTCAATTTTGATGCAAGCAACATGTGTGACTGATCAGTCAGCCATCCAACTTCTGAAATTCATTGACTTGAGACAAATTGTTTGAGTCCAGCCGGTGAAAACTCAGGTTGCTCCATTTGAACCTCATGAGCCGTGAGGGTGTTGAACAACGACCCCAGCCCTTTGGCTATGCAGTGCTATGCAGTGTTTTCTGCAGTGTTTTTAGCTTGGCCTGAGGCCAGAGTGGCAGCATGAAATCACCATGACCACCATCTAAGGTTCCGAGAAGCTATGGAGCCCGGACCCTAGACATCTGGGAGCTTTTTTGGGCGGTTCCAAAGGTCCCAAGATTGGGAACATCGAAAATCACCTCCCTAGAAAAGCCATGAAAAGCCAAGAAAACAATGGACAGTAATTGACAGTGATAGTGAATGAGATGATAGTGATGGTGAATCCCTATCATTTTTTATTTTCCATTTCATATATGGGTAATATGGGATATATAATCCTTCCCATTGACGAACTCCATCATTTTTCAGAGGGGTCGGTGGCTCAACCACCAACCAGCACTGGTTGACTTGTTCGTCCCATGGCAGTTGACGGTTCCACGGGTGCACGGTTGGAAAATGTTGGACATTCAATGCCATGATTAAATGGACCTATCCTGGACCTATCAGAATGTTATACACTTCCTGAGAATTTGCTAGCAGATATACTTAAGAATATCTGAATAACATCATTTCATTTAAAGTCATTTATCAAACTTAACATATATTATGTACAATGTACTTAATAACATCATTTGATTATCATTTAATCACCTGTGATATCTCCGAAGTCGTCCTGCCCTTGGGCACCTTGCGCCTTGCGAGGCAGTTGA